ATATGCATATAGGGAAAAATCAATGACCCCCTGGGGCGGGGCCAATTTTGACCCTAGGGCTTTGATTTGAACAAACTTGGTAGGCACTCATTAGAAGATGTTTCATGCCAAATATCTAAGCTCTAGCTCTTACGGTTTTTTAGAAGAAGATTTTTTAAGTTTTTCTTATTGGTTGCCATGGCAACCAGAGTTTTTAATGGAATTTAAATTTTTGAACAACTTTGAAAGGGGTCCACCTAAGGATCATTTCTGTAAAGTTTGGTTGCAATTGGCCATGTAGTTTAGGAGGAGATGTTGTTTGAAAAGTTTGACGCCATTTTTTGAAGGACGCACGACGCACGACGGACGCAGAGTGATGACAAAAGCTCACCTTTGAGCACTTCGTGCTCAGGTGAGCTAAAAACGCTCCTTAAACTCGGACCTATTTTCAAATATGAGCGGTAGATTTTTACCTTGATACCGGGAACTGAAAATTCTTAATTTCATTGCAAATCTATAAAATTGTTACTTTTAAAGTATAAACTGATAATATAATGTAGTTGATTTAACAAAAAAAATCTTATAATTTGATATTTGAATGGTGATGTGCTATGCCAGATCACGGTGGGTAGATAACCCAATCACGTGACTCAACCGAGACAGCTTTTTTCGTAAAATTGGTCCGTCTCCAGACCATTCTATTTGAAAGACCCTGATAACCCATAGTCTTTCATATTTAAGGTAGACCATGGGTAATGCATTACCTCCACTTTGAATAGTATTCAAATAGGCTAGAATCGCTTGTAAACTACATTGAAATTGAGGGGCGTGGGTTCAAACCCCAGAAGGGGCAACTTTTTTTTTTCTTTCTTTTTTTCTTTTTAACATTATTTATGTATCTCTCTGATCCCTTATGGAAGAAAAAAGGTTTGATTTAAATTATATAATTAATTTAGGTATTTTTTTTGCTAAATAATGCCAAAATTTATAGCAAATATGATACCAGATATTTTCAAAGTTCAATAAAATAAAAACTACACGGTAAAAGTATTTTATATTTCGCATGATCAACTAATATGCCTTTGAGAAAATTTAGGCAAACTTTGAAAACAGACCCTCATTTCGATAAATTTTAGGGATATTTTGAATGAGGCATTTTAGATAGGGAAATGGTAAAATTAGTGTTAAAAGTGGGTGGGGTAGGGTAACATTTTTATACGTATTAAGAACATTTTGTTTAGAAACAAACATTTTGCTTGTGTAATGTGTTACCTGAATGTTATTATTTGTTTCTTAATAATGAGCAATAGAAAAACATTTTTTATAATGATTATATTACAGATTATTTACAGTTTCCTCATTTCTGAAAATAAGCCCTTCTAAGGGCAAAATCTTAGTTAGGAAATATATCCATAACTCATAAACCACACGGTAAATTTTATTTAAATTTTGCATACAGGTGACCTTGAAGACATATAACTGTCCTATGTTGTCAATTTTACAGTTCCTTATGGTGTCCATTACCCATGGTCTACCTTAAATTATATATATAAAAAAAAAACTGTACGTTTTTTAGTATTTTTATTTATTTATTTAACTATTCATTAAATTTTTAATTGTTTAATCGGTTTATTATTGAACTTTAAGTAAAATGTTTTAGATACTAGACATTGTAAGCAAAATTTAATATTCACGAATTCGAAAACCTAGCTAAACGCCGTTTTCCGGTACTTTCTGTACATAGCTCTGGGGAATTCACCTAATGGAGTGTAATAGCGAACTCGTTGTTTTCGGCCTTTTTTCAATCTAAATTGAAATAAAACAGTTATTTCTTTATAAGAAAATAATTAAATATCATTGTATGAATAATTCCATACAAAAAATAAAGTAAATACACAAGTTTATGCAGAAAATAACCTTATTTATTATGGAAGATTCCACTACATCTGTTTGAATTTTATTGATTTTCATTATAAATAATTTATTTTTTTGAATACTTTGCAATAGATATGAAAGGAATATTGATAATTTTTAAAAACATCATTTTTTTCAGCTTAAACGGTTAAATAATGATAGAAAAATAGAAATATCACATAACTGTGTTATGTACTTCATTTGGTGTAATTCCCCAGAGCTAAAACGGTAACGTACCGGAAAACGGTGTTTAGCTAGGTTTTCAAAAGGTCAATACAAGTTAGTGATGTAGAATTGGGTAAACTATCATTTTAGTTTTTTAGCATCTGATTCATTTTTATAAAAATATCCAAAAAGGACTATTTTATGTATACTATCTATCTATCTATCTCTAAGTACTGCCAACCCCTCTCGCGAGTGTTATACATCATGTCTAATCAATTTTTATTGTAGCTGTCTTATCTTTGTTGATCTTATACTTTATGTTATATACAGTCGGTTATAAAAGCTCCTAGAGTCAGTGTACCTTGTTCCGCACAGGACCCGGTCCCGCACACTTTCCCATTTTTCAGTTTTTCTTGAAAATTCAAATGAATTTATTCAGTTTTCATTTGTGTTTTACTGAACTGGCATGTTTTCAACAGGATATGACATAATCTGGGATCTTGCACCCCAGCCTTTCCCTAAAGGAAGTGGCTAGCCGTACGGGCCCGTACGGCTAGCCAAAAGTTCTAGCCGTACGTGAGTCACGTACGACTAGCCAGGACACACTGTATTGGCTAGTCGTACGGCACTTTTCAAAAATATATATGGAAGGCGAAAGTGCATATGTTATTTTGTGTCTTTAAACGACGATTTTAATCAAATCTCCGCATTTGTCCTAGTTTGTTCACTTTAATAAAGATGCTCCGCAATTTTGTAAAAAAAATGAATACCAGTAAGCGTTGTATAATCTATCTTAATTAATAAAATTAAGTGTCGTTGCATGTTATAACGTCCTTAATTTTCATGCTTATGATTTGTATGAAAGATGAATTGTTTAATCTTTTAATTAAGCACATGGATCGAAATAAATAATGATCGGAGGGGTATAAATAAATAAATAAAAAGAATATTAGAAAAAAATGGTTAAAAGGAAAAATAATTTAATAATACAAACTTTCCTTAATGATTGACGATGGACAAACTTCTATACCGACGGTAATTGACGCAATTATCAGAGCCCAACAACAATTATTTTCGGTGTTTTTTTTTGTTTTTTGTTTTTTTTTTTTCAATTTAAAAATTAAACTTTATGAAACAAAAAAAGGATTATTATCAAAATTTTGTAAACTGTTTCAATTGATGTTATTTAACTGCAACCAAACGCTATTTTTTTCTCGACGTCTTGAGATGACAAAGTACATTCTTTACTGTAGCCAACGCGTCGATTAATCTCTAAAAAGTAAACATTCTTGACTAAAATCCTCGCTTTAAGTCATAATTAACATATGCACTTTCGCCTTCCATATATATTTTTGAAAAGTGCCGTACGACTAGCCAATACAGTGTGTCCTGGCTAGTCGTACGTGACTCACGTACGGCTAGAACTTTTGGCTAGCCATACGGGCCCGACAAAAAGTAGTGCAGACAAAAATGTAAATACATGTACATGGCTGTGTAGGTCACACATAAAAACATCTTTTTCAGCAATTAAACCATGCTAATTTCTATTTTAATGTTAAGATTTTTATAAAATATATATTTGAAAATAAATATATGTTTTTGTTTTGGCAAATTTGCTGTTAGTTATGAAATATATGCACATGATTTAACTTCTCCCAATAACCAAACGTCAAGTCATTTCACCTTGATTCTTTTGTTTAAAATGATACCAAACTCTTAATCGAACAAGTCATAACTAAACAGATGAAAAAACCTTCAATAATAATGTTTTATGTTGTGTTTACTACCTACAAGTGGTAAAAAAGTATCTTTCAATTGCTGTTACATGTTTCCTGTGTGCTACTATGCTTGGAAATAAATGTTTGTATACTGTAGTAAGAATGACTGTGCTTTAAATTTATTTGAACTCCTGAAAATTTGCAAAACAATATAACTTATCTGGACTTAGAGATGTTAAATAATTTATAAAACATGTTTAAGATGTACAATAACCTTTCAGTATATAAGTGGCCTTGTGTGCGGAACCGAGTCCACTATTTATCATATTTGGCCTATACGTGTTGCTTAAAATCAAGTGCGCCTAGAAGTATGACCTACATAAGATAGAAACGTTTTGGTCATCAGTTTTTATGGGCAAAGGATGTAATTTTCAAAATAATACGGGGAAGTCAAAGTCCGGGCCCGCTGGCTTTGGCTTGCCCGGCTATAGACTACATGTGTATATTTAATCTAAAAGAAAATTCAAATAAAAAACAATTAAAAAATATATAGAATTCTATACCTATCAATGAAATTTTCAGTGTCAGTTCTAGTTAGGCGCCGCCATTTACAATGTAACTCAATGATAAAAGGCGGTGTATTCCGATAACGTAACAAATCTCAACTTTTCGGATTAATAATAATCGTCGAGTGTTCCGAGTGAAAACGGAAGTACATATAATACCGAATGACACCTTTAAAACGGAAAAATGAAAGGATTTTTTACCGACTTCCCCGTTCATAGGCTTTGCCTAATTTCATATTATCAATTATAAGAAGAATTTTTAACTATAAGATAATTTTCTTATTTTTCCTTAAAAAAGTGTACGACTCCGGGTACACTGACTCTAGAGCTTGTGTTGTATTATTGAAAACTTGCCGACTTGAAATAAAACTTATCTTATCTTTTAAGTGACTATAAGACCAATTGTAAACATACTGTATGTCTATAATTTGTTTAATATTTTATTCCACATAATTTCTCACGAATGTGCCAAATACCGCAAATATAGATCATTGGAGGGTATCTTAACCACCGCTTTCCCAATCCGACAACTGGTACAGTTTACGTCATCAAACTTTAAACAGCAAATGCCTTATTTTAGATAAAAATTGGAACAATTGAAAGATTGATTAGTGAACGTGTGTATATTATATTTGTTTTTTCACACAATGATACCAACCTCTAGGCATTTTTAAACAATTTTGTCACAATATTTGCAGATATTGCGTGATCAGGGGATCGGCTATTAAGTTACAAACTACTATTTAGATACGCGTTTGTGACTATGTATTTTTAAACAATATATGAACCGCTCCCGTGTCGGTAACGTGAAATCAACACTACGTTATATTCACTTTGATGAGAAATAAAAAACAAAAACGTATCGATAATTATTTTCTTAAAAAAGGTTTTATTTTTAATTAGATCAAATAAAAATGCCTAAAGTGAGAAGAAGTAGGAAACCACCACCAGATGGATGGGAACTAATTGAACCAACCCTAGATGAATTGGATGCAAAAATGAGAGAAGGTCAGAACTTGAAAAATTTCACGATTCTAAGTTTTCCAGAGCAAATTAGTTTTATACTAAAATCCGCAGCTTAAGACGAGTTGTTTTATTGATTGTTTATATTTTCAGAGGAAATCAGGTAAGTTTCATATTTGTATGATGACTGAAATTTTAAAAGTTAGAATACTGCTACATTTATTAAAATCATATAGCCAGTAACCTTATTCTTTTTAACATGCGGTTTTAAATTTCAATACAACTTAAACTATTTTTGTACTTTATGTCTGTAAATTTACATATATAACAATCAATTAAATTACAATTGGTCCATAGATTTACAGACTGTCAATAAATATCATGAAATCCTAGACCTGATACTGAATAATGTTCCATAATTTTTTAAGACGACAGAGTAACGTCACAGAATGGCCCCTCATAATTTACTTTTTGATATTTTATGTTACTCAATTTAATAAGAACCCAGACCAAGGTCGCTACACAGTACCCGATTCCTCAAATATTCAACATCCACTGATGTTATGAAGTTCAGCTTCTTTCCTTGTTGTATTCTTCTGTGGAACAACCTGCCAGCATCTGTTGCTGAGGCTCATTCTTTGGCATTCTTCAAGAATGAGCTGTCTAAACTAACCTTCTAAAGGGGACTTACATGCATAGTTACGAAGGTCCGACAAGTGAAGGGCTTGAGCTATGCCAGCAGGATCTCGGACCTGGGCACCACTACGGAAGCTGCATTGGTCTTGCCTAGATGGTTGAAAAGTAACTGTGTATGTTGTAATGTTCGTTTATTATGAACAATAATTAATAGAAATTAAACCAAGTGCGTTGATACAATGAAGTAAAGTAAAACACGACGAGTGTTCAGCACAAGATATAAATTTATTCTGTAAACCCTTAACATGTGATCTTAGATTTACTAGAAATACGGAGCATGCGCAAACAAGCATTATACATAGGTCAGCTCAAGTTCATCATGTACGATGATACTACATCTCCCTGTTTTTAAAAGAAAAAATAAGCAACACATGTTAATAAAATTGTATATGATAATAAACAATTATGATGATTAAAAATGCATATACATACTGAAGAGAACAATTTAAATAGTCTTAAAGTCACAAAGTTTTTTTTTATTATTATTATTACTATTTTTTATTTCTGTTCTCTCTCTCTCTCTCTTTTACATTATACTGTCTAACAATTCCGGATGATTAATAAACAGTGCTCCATTCATCGGTATTGTAACGTTTATTAGGTTTTACTACTCGACCACTGCGCGTCTGATAACCTGTGCCTGACCTTGTTTCATGGCTAATATTCTGGGAAATACCTGTTTCATTTAAAGGTGCTTTGTTTGAGATTATATCATGAGGATCTTGACCTTGGTGGAGAATATTAGGGAAGGACTCTGTATTGATAGGGAACTTTCCCGCGTTTTGTTTATGAAGCGGCGATTACGGCGGTAAATAGCGCCATCTTCAGTTTGCACTTTGTATGATCTCTCCCCTTCTTTTTTTAGAACTATGGCTGGTTTCCAAGTTTTCCCAAATTGTACCCAGCAAGAGTCATCTTTGTTTAGCGGGGGAAGTGACCTCGAACTCTTATCGTAATAGTTCTTTTGCGTAACCTTGTTTTCTTGCAGAGATTTTCTTACTGATTTGTGGTTAATGAAAGATGGTTTCAACTGCTCATTAGTTGTAGGCAAAATGGATTTTAACCGTCTGCCCATTAACAGTTGTGCTGGGGAATAGCCGCAGTTTAAAGGTGTGTTACGGTATTCAAGAAATGCTAAATATGGGTCTGTTTTGTCTCGTGGCATTTTTTCATTGATTTTTTGGCTATTGAGACCATTTTTTCTATGAAACCATTGGATTGGCTATATCCAGGTGAAGATGTTACATGTTTAAAATTCCAGTCAGAAGCAAATTTTTGAAATTCTTCTGAGCTAAACTGTGGCCCATTATCGCTTTTCAATGTTTCTACTTGACCATAGCGAGCCATATGCATTGTTAATTTTCTAATAAGAGTTTTACTTTTTGTTTCTGGCAATGCATCGACTTCAAAGTAATTACTGTAGAAGTCCGCAGTTATAAGGTAATCACGTCCGTCAAGCGTGAATAAGTCGGTGGCAATATGTTGCCAGGGTCTTTGGGGCACGATGTGGGGATTTAATGGTTCCTTCACATTTGATGCTCTGTGTGTTAGGCATAAAGGGCATGCTAACACGTGGTCTGTGACCTGTTTGACCATGCCTGGCCAGAACATAATATCCTTGGCCCTGTTCAGCGTTTTAGTCAGTCCCATATGACCTACATGAACAGCGTTAATCATTTCAGTTCGCAATGAACTTGGAATGACCATTGTTTGACCACGGAAAATTATGTCATTTACAGTCGAGTGTTCATCCCGATGATTCCAAAATTCTAATATAGAATTCGGGCACTCATGCCTAGATTCAGGCCAGCCGTCAATAATTGTTTGTTTGAATGTCTGAAACTGACTGTCTTGCTGTGTGGAAAGTCTGAGGTCTTGTAATTTTCCGTCGCTAACCGGTAAACTATTAATAACCGTGTGCACGTGCACGTCAAGTCCGTCAGACAATTCTGGATACGTGTCCTTGACAAAATGACGGGATAATGTATCCGCTACGGGAATGCTTTTCCCGCTAACATGTACGACTTCTATGTCGAACTGTTGAATCTGTAATAAGAGACGTTGTAGTCTGGGGGTCGACCGACATATTTCTTTTTTCATAACTGAAACTACAGGTTTGCAATCAGATTCAACTTTAGTATGTCTTGCGTAACAGTATTGCTTGAAACGTCCAAGACCATGAAGTATAGCTAATGTCTCTTTTTCTATTTGAGCATAACCTCTCTCTGTAGGGGTCAATGTCTTTGATGCAAATGCAATGGGCTTGCCGTCCTGTAAGCACGTGCAACCTAAACCACGTGCACTTGAGTCGACTTGCAATGTGACAGGCTTTTTCGGGTCGTAGTATGCCAAGACTGGTGCCTTAGTCATTGCGAGTTTAACCTTTTCAAAGGCGTCAATTTGCGCACTGTCCCATATAAACTCAATGTCTTTTTTCAACAAGTCACGCATAGGGCTTACCATTTCTGCCAATTTTGAATCAAATTTTGACAGATACGTGATCATGCCAAGAATAGTTTCTAACTCTCACTTATTTTCTGGGGCTTTCATTTCTACAATTGCCCTGATTTTTTCGGGATCGGGCTTAAGACCGTCAGCTGTCAGTACGTGACCAAAGTATTTAACTTTCTGAGAGCCGATAACACATTTGTCTGGGTTAAACCTTATACCCTTTTCACGTGCTCGGTCCAAAACACGTGTCAGGTTTGCATCGTGCTCTTCGATAGTCCGTCCATACACAAGAAGATCGTCTACTATTGACGTCACGTCCTCGAAGAATTCGTCGATTTTTTGACAAAATATGTCTTGGGAACTTTTGATACCCATAGGAAGCAGCAAATATCGGTATCTACCGAAGGGACTATTAAATGTCGTCAAATATGAGGATTGGTCCGTCAATTTTATCGACCAATAACCTTTCGTTGCGTCTAATACACTGAAGTACTTAGCACCTGTCAATTGGTTTGTCACGTCTTCTATAGTCCTCATAGGGTAGTGCGGTCTCATGATATTATCATTTAGTGCTTTAGGGTCTAAGCACACCCTCAGCTTTCCAGTGCTGGGTTTTTCCACACAGACCAATGATTTGACCCAGTCAGTCGGTCTAGTAACCTTTTGGATAATCCCTTTATCCTCCATAGACTGAACCATTGCGCAATCAGGTCGAGAAGTAATGAAATCATTTACCGTGCATACATAAAAATCCTGATCGTCACTCGATAAGTCCGACTCACAATTTATATTGTTCACAGTATTACGTGATTTACACATTTTCTGGAAATGATTCAGTTTGCCACATTTCCTGCACGTTTTCCCCTTTGCTGGACACGTTTTGCCCTCTTGATGTGTTGTCCCGCATCTAGAACAGGTCATTTTCTCGTCCCTGTCTTGTGGCTTTTCCCGCCTTCGGATTAAACGTTTTCTAGGTCTCGCCACGTGGTGAACGTCCTTGTCCGCCGCAGATGCCATTGAACTCAATTGCTGTTTGGAATATTCCATATTTTGAGCGATTTGTACAGCTTTATCTAAGGTCAATTCTGCACCTTCGTTGATTAGCTTTTCTCGAACCTTAGAAGAATTTGTGCCAAATACAATACGGTCCCGTATCATTTCGTCTGTGTTTGCAAAACTGCAGTCTCGTGCACAGATTTGTAATTTTGTCAAGAACGAATCGATGGTTTCTTCTCCCAGCGTTTGATTGTAGAATTTATACCTAGCAAATATTGGCTTGAGCTTAGGTTGCACATAAGTTCTGAATTTTCTGTAGAACGTTTTTTGATCTTTTTGGCATCGTCTTCAGAAATATCTTTCCACGTGCAGTGGATGTCCCGCCCTTTATCACCAATCCATAAAAGAAAGTAAGAAACTTGTTCTTCTTCAGACTTTTTCTTCAAAGGTCCTGTAAACATTAGTTTTGCGTGACGCTCGAATTTATTATAAGCTTCAGGTAAATTCGAAGATTCCCAGTCCATTTGGGGCACTGACAATCCAGATAATTCCATTTTGTTTTCAAATATTAATTTAATTGTGTAACTTTATTTTTTTTTTAGATAAATATTCCAATTTTTTTTTTATCGTATGTCCGATTATTTATTAAACGTTTTTACTCTGACACCATGTTGTAATGTTCGTTTATTATGAACAATAATTAATAGAAATTAAACCAAGTGCGTTGATACAATGAAGTAAAGTAAAACACAACGAGTGTTCAGCACAAGATATAAATTTATTCTGTAAACCCTTAACATGTGATCTTAGATTTACTAGAAATACGGAGCATGTGCAAACAAGCATTATACATAGGTCAGCTCAAGTTCATCATGTACGATGATACTACAGTGTACAACTACTTTCTGCTTAGTTACTTCATTTCTTTTTAATTTCCATCTAGCAAAAACTGTCCGTGTCCTTTTTCTTTCTATCCTTATTCCTATTTTATTTCTCTTTTGTCTTTTTTCTTGCACACCGTTAAAGAAATGTCAAGTCTGACAGTTTAACGTACAGATGTACTCATGTAGATTGATGAAGAACTTCAGGTTTGCAGATGTTTCTCTCCCAAAACAGTTTAAATACCAATCTGGTTCACACATTTCATCCTCCCTTATTTCCTGGGACTAAAAATGTGACTTTGTGTCCCAACGTATTTCATAGCTTAAATACCATACTTCTGACATGTTAATTTGATTTAGGAACAGGTCGGACCTTGGAACAGGAATGACTGTACCATTGCGGACCCATAGATTGGGACAGGGTGGACCTTATTTGGGACAAGGCAGACCATGCATTTGTCCAACTAATTGTACTACTTGGGGCAGTGAGATACATGTATCTTGCTATTTTGTGTATTGGCAATATCTCCAGGCTGGAAACAAGATTCTGACCCAAACATATCTCAGAATCTAGCTTTGGCATGTCAATATTTTTGACAGACCATGCATTTACGTCAAGTTCAATATTTCTTAAGAAGTTAAGTTATACTTTTATGACATATAGAAAATTAACCATCAGCCGAGCTGGATAGGTTTATATTTATGTAACTGGTAGTCTGGTATATCAGTTACGGAGGTATAGCAATAAAACAATAATATTCCCATTGATAAGAGACAAATGTTTACATAATAACATATCGTTGATCTTGTTTATATTTAACAATAAATTAAAAGATTGGGAGGGGAGAACAACACATCAAAACACCAGGTCGGTTTATACAGGGCTCTTGCAACTGGGCGATTTGGGCGACTTAGTCGCCTAAAGTTTCTGAACATAGCCGAGTTTTGAACATCAAAGCGAAATCGACTTTGCCACGCTTTTTTACTTACCTCATATCACACAGGGCATGTCAATAAATTTAATCCTCACCTCCAGGCGTAAATCAAACTGAATTGGTGACACCAGGCCTTTTTTCCTGTATTTTGGGAAAATGCCACATGGCAAATTTGGAAATTTGTGTCGCAAATTTTTCCAATTTTGGAAAAAAAGTTATTGTTATTTCAAGTACTACATATATATACCCTTCTTTAGGTTGTTTATATTTAATTTAAGTTGCAAAAAAATTTGTAAAAAATTCATAAATAAGCAAATTACAGGCCGATTCTGGTAATCCTTTGTCCTTTCCAGCAGTTTACCCGTTTTCGCCAATTTTATATATTTTTGTAACTTTTTTTTTGTAAAGCGATTTTTTCAAAATTCCTGTTGAGATCAATCATAATACTTAAGTTTTTATAAAAAAGATATGCAAAATTTGTCCTTTCAGCCGAGACTGATCCTCATGAAGGGAAAAGGAAAGTTGAAGCACTCTGGCCTATCTTCAGACTACATCATCAGAGGTCAAGGTACATCTATGATCTGTTCTACAGGAGAAAAGCCATCAGTAGAGGTGAGTCAAAATCTGGGAGATTAATTTAGAGGTTTTTGTTGTCTAGTTTTTGATAAGCTAACAACTTGATTAGTTTTTTGTATGTTTTGGTTTTTTACTAATTCAAGACATATTTGATCATACATGTATTTTTGCAGTCAGGTTAACTAAACATTAATTACCAATTTGAGAATGGAAACGAAGCCTATGCAACTTAGTTTATACAGGTTAATGGTAGTTTTCTTCTTTGTGACAACTTTTCCCTTAGTTAGGAAATTTGTTGCTGTTCCAATGTTGTTTTTAGCTCGACTATTCGAAGAATTAATGAGAGCTATTGTAGTCGCCCCGGCGTCGGCGTCCGCGATGGTTAAAGTTTTTTGTAAAGTTGGATAACTCTGCCTACAATATTGACAGAATTATGCCCTTTTTTAACTTAGAAATTTTGGTTAAAGTTTTTTTGTAGTCAAATATCTCAATTATTGCTTGAGATATTCAATTGAAATTTACAATACTTATTTATAGTAACAATGTTCATCAGTTTGCAAAATTGCATAACTCTGCCTGCAATATTTGCAGAATTATTTGCCCCTTTGAAACTTAGAAATTTTGGTTAACCTTTTAATTTTGGTTAAAGGGTAAAGGTCTTCAAAGATATTTACTTGAAACTTTACACATGTACTAAGGGTCATAATTGAAGGTCACATCTCAAGATTCATTACTCTGCCATGTATTTTGACTGAATTATGCACCCTTTTGTACTAAAAAAAATCTCCTTTTCTTGGTTAAGTTTAACATGCAAGTTTTGCATATCTCTGAAACTATTAAAGATACAAACTTGAAACTTCATATGTATATTTGTATATTTCTATAACTTAATACGTAATTATACATAATTGATTTTTCTTTCATAGTTTTGTCTTCCTTACAGGGTCCAGTATTTTATTAGTCGAGCGTTGCTGTCTCCTGTGACAGCTCTTGTTAACAACATTTCTCAAACGAAAAAACAGTGTTTGGGGCCTAAGTAGGGCATTTCAAGGGGGGGGGGGGAAGCAAAAAGCCGCCAAAACATGTCTATATGCGGTAAAAGTACCTTGGAAAAAATATATGGTAACCTTTGAAACCTCCTTCAAGTTCTCTTGGCATAGTTTTTTGAAATGTGCAAAATTGTTTATTCCAACCTATGCAATAATCATCAAAGCATAAAAAATACATTAAAATTTGACAATGAAATGTGTGGAAACATCTTTCTGATACCATACTGGAATAAAACTCCAACAAATTTGTCACTTTTGAAATCGAGAATTTCAGTTCAATTGAGAATTTTTTTTAAGATTGGGAAAAAGTAAGCATATTTGCCATTGGGAATGGGTCTGATAATCTGACCTGTGGTGACACTGGGAAAAGGTATGTTAAGCTAGTGTTGACGATGTTTTACTACAAAGGGAGGTTTGGATTATGTATCTGCACTCAACAGTTATTGTTTTTGTAACTAACATGTCTTAGAAAAATCTATGCTGTTCATAGAATTGCAATTATCAAACTAAAAATGCATTAATATGTTTTAACATGGGCCTACAGAAGAATATTACAATATTATTAATATTATTAGTTTAAAATTGAATAATTCAGGCAAGCAAAATTTCATATAATGAATTTCATTGTAATGATTGAATTTCAGAGTTGTATGACTACTGCCTCAAAGAGAAAATTGCTGATGCAAACTTGATTGCTAAATGGAAGAAACAGGGTTACGAGAATCTATGCTGCCTACGCTGTATTCAACCAAGAAATACAAACTTCGGAACCAACTGTATCTGCCGTGTACCTAAAAGTAAACTTGAAGCTGTGAGTATAATTGACCCATCTTGATTAATTTATAAACAGTGTGTGTGTAAATCTTGGTATATTATATTATGTAGGATGTTAAAAGATCATGTTTGTACAATGTACCAATCATGCAATACTGAATCTAGCCAAAGCTATTCATTACTTACTTACGAATGACATTTGAAGTTAATTGAGTCAACGCTAACTTGTAGACAGACTTCGCTGTATATTAGCAGGTCAACTACTGCTCCATTTTAGAACTTTGTTCTTGAAATTATCAAAGGACATTCAAACTTCAAAGCAAAACTTGATCAGTATGCAAAAATGGAGGAATACTATAAAACTAGTTTTCTTTTAAGTATATAATTATACCATTTACAGCTCTTACCACATGAATTTTGTAACATCAGTCATAAAAACAGTGTTATTTCAATATTAGTACTAAGTTTTATAAATTTTGGGGGAAAAGCTCAAAATATTTAGTTTAATAGAGGAATAGTGACTGTTATGTAAATTTATTTTTATATTGTATGGTATTGAGGATTTTTGTTTAAACATAGGTTTTTAGTTCTGATTAATGACCTTTAAAATATGGCATTTAAAAAACAGGCATGGTGACCAATACATGTACCTTTCAAACCTGATTTTAGCTCCATATAGCACTTTAAATATCTGTACCAAAAGTATATAATTCCTCTGCATGCAAATTTACGCTAGTCAAGTGTATGCATTTTGATATTATTTTAATCTCATGTTTAATACATGTATCTTTTATTAAGTTTATTTGTTTAATATTTCAGGGAAAGATTGTTGAATGTATTCACTGTGGATGTCGAGGTTGTTCAGGATAGTTACATCACTACAACTTGAGGGAGATATCATTACATCACTACAACTTGAGGGAGATATCATTACATCACTACAACTTGAGGGAGATATCATTACATCACTACAACTTGAGGGAGATATAATTATTTCAACTGAATATAAATATTGCCATAGTGATACATTGTAAAAATGAAATTATTATAAGCAACAATAATTTGAAATGTCCAAGCTTTCAAGAAATTAAGAAAATTTATATTTAAATCATGTTTTAACATTTTATAAAGTGAAGGAAAGACTATATATGCAGTGTATCATGGAATGATTTGAATTGATGAACTATGTTGTATTTCAATTTTGTACATGTATTTCATACAAAATCATTGTAAAATTTTCATTTGTCGTAGTAATACTATTATAAATGTGTCTTTCATTATGTTAATAAATGCTATAGATCATGATGCTATATCATGATGCTGTCCATTTGTGTTCATATACTGTATTGTAACATTAAAGGAAATTTGCTTTGGTGAAAGTTCAATCATTCTGTTAGAATTAGGACATATAGCATACCTGTCATCTGAACATGAGTTTAAAAGTTAACTGATAATTAAATCTGTGTGGCCATGCATTTTGTTCAAACAAGTAAAATCTGTTTAATATAAGACCATTTAGATATAGATCCAGTTATGCCTCCATTTGAAAAAAAAGTATATAAATAGATGTATATATATTATGAAATGGTCCCTGGTGGGCAAACAGACACATCATCAAGTTTTGTCAGGAGTGTATCTTCTACCTGCATGGAGGGATTAAAGTATTACTTTATACAAATGTTCACCACCATTTCACATTGTGTCAGGCATATCATCTAGGTCATGGTCACACTTAAAGTCAAAGGAAAATGCTAAACTAGAGCAAAATCACATTGCAAAATTCTGAAATAACTTGGTACAAATGTTCACCATATTGAGGTAGTGTATGTATGGATGGTTTGATAGTGTTGAATTGAAATTTGATAAACATGTTCACAAACTGAGTTGTTATCAGCATAAGCAAGGTCAATCTATGCAAAGTCAAGGTCAGTGAGATGATGAAATGTCTAGATTTGTCTAGAGCATATCTGCTACATGATTGCTGTAATGCCTGATACCATGAGACTTGGTGTGGCACACATGAAGCAGGTCTCTAGGTCAAGAGTCCTGAGACCACTGATGTCAGAGGAATAATATGTTGTGTGTTGCGGTTTGGATTGGAATATCCGTCTTGAGGGTACCTGTCCATTGGTTGGTTAATGAGGCTTTCCGAGATGCCACCCATTGGCAGTTACCCGAGGGACAGATATTCCAAACACATCATATATTATTTCTTGCATATTCTATCATATTTTAAATGCTTTCTCTCAATAAAACAATTTTTCATGAAAATTAATATCATTTTATCTGTAACCATAGCGTATGCTGTATGAATTTACACATTCATTCATAATAGTGAAATGACATCATCCAAGGCACAGTTTCATTCTTAAATACGCCAAAATAACTTTATTTTAACGGAGCTTATTCATAAAATGCGCTAAAATGATGTCATTGTATAACACACACCTCGTCAGGCACCCCCCTCCCCCCATGTCAGATGAACTTTCTAGCATGGGTAAAATTAAAGGAAACGCCAGTCTCGTGTGCAAGAAAAGGTTTATCAGGGGCAAAACTACATGAATTGAGGGATTTGGATAGCACATTGTACAATTGCAGGCAGAGTACTGTGCAAATTATTTTCGTTTTTTAGTCTAGGTCAGATGAAATGTGTATAAGGACAATTTAGTAGTTTTGGACTGAGGGATTGCATCACAAGTGTGAATTAATATAATACATGTTTACACGTGGGTATTGGCAGCTTGATATAGGTAAAATATAGGCAAGGTCACCAGTGATGATTACAGATTTTGTCTGGAGCATTTCACAAGTGTACATCATGAAACATAGTGTAGCACACAAGAAGCAGGTATCTATATAAAAGATATACAGTGTAACTTCTAAAAAAAACGAACACCTGTGGGACTAGCCAAAAAGTTCGGAATTTGGAATTTTCCGGAATTCAGAAGTTCGTTATTATCTTAACAAGTACATAAATTAGACATCAATTGTTTAAGTAAGACATGATGAAAAATATAATCATGAAGTTAATTAAATTCATTAAATGGCAAAAGTTTAGGACTTTAAAAAAGTTTAGAACTACATTGTATATCAAATTTCATTATTACTGGTTTGTTGATACGAATGCATAATGTATAATTTATTGAGTATATTTCATGTACCTATTAACTTGTAAATTTTTGTTTTTCATCAGATTATACTTCTCATTTTTTCACACTTTAAGATTGAAGAGTTTGACATGTTGTGATTCTAATAGGTGCCAAGATAAATGGTGACTGCTAATTGGACGATAATGACATTTTGAAGGTTTTACACAATCTCAATTATAATATTCCTTCACACCTTTTTCAATTTCCGGATTTTAGAAGTAAATTAGAATAGATATAACCCAAATTTTACAGGAAAATCGTTCAGAATTTAGAAGTTCCGGTATTCAAAGGTATTTATTAAAAAAGAAAATAGGAGAAATTTCGGGACCCTGAAAAATGTTCGGATTTCAGAATTCGGAAGTTACACTGTATTTATCTATTATGCAGCTTAATAAGCTTTTGTTAATAGCAAATTTCCAACGTTTTAAGCCTTAAAGTGTATAAAGCTTCATATATGCTACAAAATTTATTATAGAATACTTCAAAATGCTTGTATGAAAGAAATATGGCAGTTTATTGCCCTAAAAGCGAATATTGCATGAATTACATCATTGCTAAATGCTTAAAACCCTAAATAAAATAGGAGCATATTTTGTAACTGAACATTTTAATCTTTTTACAAGCAAAATTCATGTGTGATAGACCTTTAATGTTATTGAACCGTAAGATAGGAAAACAATATATGTATAATTTTACTGTTTAATTTTAAATTTCTTAAAATATTTCTTAAGATATAGCTTTATACCCTTTAACCTGTATAATTTCTAACATGAACTTGACCGGGAAACGGACAAAAGCCCTCCCGGACAAAAGCCCTCCCGTCAAAAAAAGACAAGGCGGACAAAAGCCCTCTCGTGAAATTAACAAGGCGGACAAAAGCCCTCCCGTAACAAAAATAAATATGTATGTTGAATACCTGTTGTTTTTTTTCAATGCACTCAACATATTAAAATTGTAACATATATTTCTTGTTGTTTTCAATTGACCTAAGTACCTTTTTATTCTGAATATACCTTCCTGAAATGTTTAACGAGGTAACTTTTTACACAAACAAAGTCAATTTTAAAAGTAATTGACTCATTACAAGTCACATTTTAAAGTATAAATGTTTTTAACTTTTAAGTTAGATAATTTTAACTTCTTTTCATCAATTAGTACTCTATTACTCTTAACTTCACATTTCATATTTACGTGAATAAATGTGCACTTACAGATTTTAGCACTAATTATTCAGATGCCTCTCATGAATGTGCTCAAGCTCTTACAAACACGCTTATGCCAATGGAAAACAAAATATTCCTGATTACAATTTTAATATGTTGAGTGCGTTGAAAAGAAAATATAAACTATTCAACGTACATATATGTATTTGCTGTGTGAGGGCTTTTGTCCGCCAAGTCATTTTTACGGGAGGGCTTTTGTCCGCCCTGTAATTTTCACGGAAGGGCTTTTGTCCGCCTTGTCATTTTCACGGGAGGGCTTTTGTCCGCCTTGTCACTTTTTGATGGGAGGGCTTTTGTCCGGGAGGGATTTTGTCCTAGTCACTCGAACTTGACCAGCTTTCATTTTTAGACTATCCACCAACAATACTGGGGATATCAAGATGGAAAATTAAAGTTGGTCAGCTAACTTCTCAACGATCTGACCAGTCTCTATATTAGTTGCAAAGGTTAATCATATGGTAAGGGTTGAACTTAAATCGACCACAACAAGTGAGGTCTTCACATAAACTCGCTCTACACCAAGTTTCATTGACATGATTGAACTATCTCATTCTTAATTCTAGTTATTGACCTGAAACCGTTCTTCTATTTTAAGAAACTGTGACATTGACCCTTAGAGGACCCAAAAATAATCCTAAATGAGGTCTCCACATAAGCCTGCTTGATCATGTATATAACTAGTTTGAATAAGATAAGTCAATCCGAACTTAAGTTATTGACCGGAAACCATCTTGTTTGGCACCTTCTCACATTACACTAATCTAATAATGACCAGGATTTTTAAAATTGAAAACCTGGTTAATACAAGAGCAATCAGTGATCACATGTGTCGCCTCATGATGGCCAATTTCATGTTGGGACAAGTTTTGTGACAGACAGACAGTGCACAACTAGATTTGGTACTGATCATTCCTGTAAAGTTTGGATAAAATTGCACCAGTAGTATATGAGGAGTAGTCCGGACAAGCTTTTGTGTATCTGGCAACACACAGAAAAAAACACCTTTTTATCAAAGGGCCATAACTCGGCCAAAAATCATTCAACCGGAAAACCCGTGCAATATGCCTAAGGACTTGAGCTACAGATCAATCCTGTAAAGTTTCATTGAAATTGCATTAGTGGTATAAGAGAAGTAGTCCGGACAAACTTTAAAAATAACTAGAAATGTGTCCATAGGACACGGGTGCCCCCACCGCGCCACTGTTCTGTCAATCTTTTTACTAAGTCAAGGGAAATAACTCTACAAATACTGGATAAATCCACAAGCGAAACCCCAGGTGCAAATCTAAATATGCTGAGCAACCTGCCCGTAAGGTTTAATGAATATGTCAAATCCTTTTTGAGTAACTTGCGACACAAGTTGAAAATTGCAAAAATTTTCTAAGTGAAGGGCAATAGCTCTAAAAATACTAAATAAATCCAGACGAAAATACCTGGTGCACAACTGCACATGCTGATCAACATTCCTATAAAGTTTCATGACTCTAGGTCAAATACTTTTTGAGTTACGTGCGACACATGTTGAAAATTGCAAAATTTTACTAAGTAAAGGGCAATAACTCTAAAAATACAAAAAACATCCAGATGAAAATACCCAGGTGCACAACTACACATGCTGATCAACATTCCTGTAAAGTTTCATGACTCTAAGTCAAATACTTTTTGAGTTACGTGCCACACAAGTTGAAAATTGCAAAATTTTACTAAGTCAAGGGCAATAACTCTGAAAATACTAATAATATCCACACAAAAAATACCCAGGTGCACAACTACACATGCTGATCAACATTCCTGTAAAGTTTCATGACTCTAGGTCAAATACTTTTTGAGTTACATGCGACACAAGTTGAAAATTGCAAAATTTTACTAAGTCAAGGGTAATAACTCTGAAAATACTAAAAATATCCACACAAAAATACCCAGGTGCACAACTACATATGCTGATCAACATTCCGGTTAAGTTTCATGACTCTAGGTCAAATACTTTTTGAGTTACATGCGACACAAGTTGAAAATTGCAAAATTTTACTAAGTCAAGGGCAATAACTCTGAAAATACTAAAAATATCCAGACGAAAATACCCAGGTGCACAACTACACATGCTGATCAACATTCCTGTAAAGTTTCATGACTCTAGGTCAAATACTTTTTGAGTTACGTGCGACACAAAAGTGAACGGACGGACGGACGGACGGAAGGACGGACGGAAGGACGGACAGACGGACGGACGGACAAGGGTAAATCTAAATGCCCGCCACTAACGTGGGGGCACAAAAATTATTAAAGGGCCATAACTCTGACAAAAATCATTGAACCGGAAAATGCTGACAATATGCACAACTAGACTTGGTACTGATCATTCCTGTAAAGTTTGGATGAAATTGCACCAGTAGTTTATGAGGAGTAGTCCGGACAAGTTTTGTGACGGACGGACGGACAGACAGACAGACAACGGAGAAGTGATCCCTATATGTCGCCACTACTCCGTAGAGGCAACACAAAAATGATAGAATTAGATAACAACACTGGAAAGACTGTCATTATTTTGCTTTATTTTTTTTTCCAGATTTTTTTGTATACTTAATGACAATAAGCAAACTAACATTTAACATGTAGGTAATCACAGCTATACCTGCTTTGAAATTTTATCAACACTTATCAGTGTATACTTCAATACAAATTATAATTCCATTAAATTACAGGAAAAACTTGCTTTTATTTATTATCTTCAACATTATAAACCTATACAATTAAGTACAAAGAATTTAAGTTCTACATGCCTTAAAATGCAACAAAATGGTAATAATAAGAAAATCCTGGATTTATATTTTGCTCAAGTGACTATTTTTAGGTAGCACTAAACAAAACATCAAGTGTAATATAGTCTAGTAAAATCAATGAGAGCCAAATACAATACAAGATTAAATTATTTTATTTATTATACATGTCATTAAATTTCAGGCAGAAATTCAAGTCCTGACTTCATAGAAGATTAAACTTTGATGCAATACATGGTTTCCTTTCTGTTTGGTCACATTTGTTTCATGTAATACAAGCAGTTGATATCAGATAATAATTTTCTGGTATATTATAAATCAAGTTTCATCATGTATAGCTAAACAGCTGCTGTACATTGAACAGTTTAAAACAGAATAGTAGATCACATTCTAACTTATCCATTCATTAATAATTAAATATAGCCCTGGAAGAAAGACTGCAGGCATCATATATGACTAAAAATATCATTGCCCTGGAATACTAGCGAATGTATTCAAATATTCAGTTCACATGAAGAACGTTTTATGTAATATCTTAACATTTATTTCTTTATTAGGTATTTTTTCAAGTAGTAAAGTATACAAGACATGTATTTGTTCATTAATTACCTGAACAAGATACACTGATCATACAACAGTATAATTTATACTAATATATCATTCTTAAAGTGGATTGGTCTACAATGGGTACATTTTCCACAAGTATTTCAAATATTGATAAAAACAATAGAAATGTATCATTTGGTTTTCCTATAAAATATTGCTTGAAAAAATGTTGAAAAAGTTCTAAATGATTTTGTATGATAATGAATAATAATTTTATTATCTGCTATATAAATATACATTATAACAAATTATGTTTCTGACATAAGCAAACATTTGTCATACATACATAATTCTTTTGTGTTTTTGTTATGTCTGATACTCAATATTATTGATTTCTATTTATTATACATTTATTGTTTTAAAGACCTTCAATTATAGACCAATTCACTTTAAACTAGGATTTGTCCAAACTTACATTCTTGAATTATTCATCATATTTAAATATAGCAGATGTAATATTTGTAAATGCCTCCTTTACCAAAGCATTTAAATGCACAAGTAATTTTTGGCTGAAAGAAGCATTCCCTTTAAATTCACCCTAAAATTATCAAAACACATACATTAAAGAAACAATAAAATGTGCAGATATCTGTAAATCTGAACACACTGTTACATGTAAAATTATGCAAGTTATAAGGAATGTTTCATATGGCCCATGTACATATTCCACATTCAATAATATACACACATGACTTAATTACAGCAACTTTATCAACAATTATGTAACATCAAAGGTCACTGTGAATTATTCATCTCTACATATAATAATTATCAATTAATGTAACACAAACAGTGCTTACTTGTGCAGAAAAAATCTGCAAGAAAAACTAGAACTGCCACTATCATGGCGTGAATACCCCCGCATACCACTTTGTCAGAATCAGAATCAACAGTGGCCATTTAGAGCTCAAGGACAACCTCCCTGCCAAATCTGAGGTTACTAAGCCAGTGCATTGCTAAGTTATGTATTCTACATGCTTCAAATGTGAAAATGTCAAAATCAATACATTGCGGACAGGACATTCTTTAGCAATTAAGAAGAAAAGCTTTTTTTTTTGTCAAGGTCCCTGTGACCTTGACCTTTGACCCAGTGACCTCAAAATCAATAGGGGTCACCTTATAGTCATGATCAACATCCATGCCAAATATGAAGACTGTGGGTCAAAGGAATCTTAAGTTAATGGGTGGACAAACTTTTTGAAGTCAAAGTCCCTATGACCTTGACCTTTGATCCAGTGACCTCAAAATCATAAGGGGTCATCTACTAATCATGATCAACATCCATGCCAAGTATGAAGACTGTGGGTCAAAGGAATCTAAAGTTATTGGGCAGACAAACTTTTTGAAGTCAAAGTCCCTGTGACCTTGACCTTTGACCTCAAAATCAATAGGGGTCATCTACTAATCATGACTAACCTCCATACCAAATATGAAGACTGTGGGTCAAAGGAATCTTAAGTTATAGGGCGGACAAGCTTTTTGAAGTCAAGGCCCCTGTGACCTTGACCTTTGACCTGGTGACCTCAAAGTCAATAGGGGTCATCTACTAATCATGACTTGCCTCCATGCCAAATATGAAGACTGTGGGTCAAAGAAATCTTAAGTTATTGGGCGGACAAGTGTTTTGAAGTCAAGGCCCCTGTGACCTTGACCTTTGACCTGGTGAACTTAAAATCAATAGAGGTCATCTACAAATCATGACTTACCTCCATGCCAAATATGAAGACTGTAGGTCAAAGGAATCTTAAGTTATTGGGCGGACAAGCTTTTTGAAGTCAAGGCCCCTTTGACCTTGACCTTTGACCTAGTGACCTCAAAATTATAGGGGTCATCTACTTATTATGACTAACCTCCATGCCAAATATGACGACTGTAGGTCAAAAGAATCTTACGTTATTGGGCGGACAAGCTTTTTGAAGTCAAGGCCCCTGTGACCTTGACCTTTGACCTAGTGACCTCAAAATCAATAGGGGTCATCTACTAATCATGACTAACCTCCATGCCAAATATGAAGACTAAGGGTCAAAGGAATCTTAAGTTATTGGGCGGACAAGAAAAAACCGACGGACGGACGGCCGGACGGACGGACAGCCGGACGGACAAGCTGATTCCAGTATACCCCCCTTACAACTTTGTTGTGCGGGGGTATAATAAAAACTCCATTGCCTTTTATCTCAAATTGTTAATGAAAATAATGGCATAAGCAAATAAACTTGAAACTAAAGCTATTGTAGGAATTTAAAGAATGACCGGTATGCTTCTCCTTGGTTTTTACATGAATTATCAAGTCTATGCCATAATAAATGACACCATAAAGCCATTAAGCCAATAACTGCATCAACTTTTGGATAAAAAAAACATATCTGTATCAACTGTTGGATAAAAAACCAACATGACAGTATCAACTTTTGGATCAAAATAAATTGCACATAATTGAACAGAGGTCTACTTGGTTATTAAATCAGACTTGACCGAACATTATGCCTGTGTTTACATACAGGTATACAACTGCAGGTGATAATCATAGTTCACTATAGGACCTACTAAATACTACTATCCTTGGTATTTACAACCTTGTTCTAGCAGTATATGCTTCAATACTCACATATTCTAAACATATTTAAATACATTTGTAGATAGAAATATCCATTTTGAGTCAGATATGACTTTGATAAACAAAAGATTAAATAATTTATTAATATAATATGAACATAGCATTTTATCCTAGCTGTTGATGTTATAAACACAACTGCATATGTTAAATACACTATTATTATACAGTACACAAATGTGTATGCAATTGAATATACCCTAACAGGTTTACAAAAATACAAAAGAAAGACAAGCATATATTTTGTGGTTACATATATGTATGTTAACAAGTGACATTACAACAGAGTGACTTTATTTATATTGCACAATGATACTATTAATAGATGATCATTTACATGTATATTTACAATATCATGTACTAGTATATACATTTTACAGTGCTGGAAGAGGTTTTGTTCAAGGAATACCTGTATATATAATTTCATAGATACATGTATATCAGGAATTATAAACTAAATTTGTACATTAATACAGAAAAAATAAAGTATTCTTACATAAAGCTCACAGCAGGACCATTGGAAATAAAACCAGGATATCACAAACAGCTAAAAGAAGAATATTTCAATGCCTTTATTTTTGTTAATAAATATGATAAGAGAATGTAAAGAATTTTGAGCTGTAGTAACTGGCTTAAGATTGACTAGAGTTATGAATATATATTTCTTCAATTTAATTTTTTTTATCAAATTCAGGAACAAGAACATTTATAAAGAGTACAACCTAGCTATAAGTATCCTATATATATATAGACAATGATATACATAGATAAAATATAGACATATAGAATGAACACAAGCCTCTGGAATGTTAAGGATTTCATTATGTAAATCTGGTTATTAGCTAAAAGTTGACTACAGTCTTCAATAGCTTTAAATTTAAACTAACTTGGTGTATTTCAGGTTTTTTTCCTGCTGTTCTGTTTGTTTTCTGCTTTCATCATTACCAATAAAATCACCTTTTTAAGCAAAGAAGAAACAATTACAATTACTTTCTTATTTGAACACTTGTTTTTATTTCATAAATAAAGGAGAATGTCACAAAACAATGTATACTTTTTATCAACACTTATATGTATGTACAGTAACTACAGATGAAAAAAATTTCATTGACAAATAAATTTAGAGAAATGCCCTAAAACATAAACATTAGACATATATGTACAGCTTTGCAAACATAAATATTGGAAATCTGGTAAATTTTTGCATCATACCCAGTTAATATATAACAGAAAACAACATATAGTAAAATACAAAACAATATCTTAACACAGAAAGTAGCGCATCACTATGAATAAATTATGTGCGAGTATATCAATGAAATAAGAAAAAAATCTTTTAACAGATTACTAGAAGAAGTTTATAGAACAATAACCCAATATTTATACATAAAGTATAAATATCATCTGTTTTATTTAAAGCTTAATACACTTAGGCCAATCACACTTTTGTTCGAGGACCTACTGAACACTACCATCCTTGGTATTTAACCTTTGTTCTGGGTAAACCATTCTACCAAATGGCGAAAACGACTTGTTCTATAATCTTGGCATAAGTTTGTTCAAGTTCATTTAGGTATTAAATGACTCAAACAATTTTCTGCTTTAAACCAGACTTCTTATTTACTCACAATAAAGCTTTCAGACAATAAATTGCATACAATTTTTTGAGACCTATTGTATTATATCACCTCTTTATATCAACAATACTTTTGCTTATAAGTTCTAACACAAATCAATTAAGATTGTCACAAGTCTACGAAATCCATTTGGGAATGTGTATACACGGCTTGATTTACTTCCTTGTTTCTGTAACAAATGTATGTTGATCTTTAATTTTCCTGTAACAATCTTTACACACTCTCACTGGTTTCCTGATGCGTAACCTTCTAATTTCTGTTTCATACCTACTGCATCTGTTTATAACAAAAACAAACATTATATCTATTTAGAAAATTGATGATCAAATACTTCTCACAATCCATTCTACTGTCTCTTAATATGTAAATTAGTACATGGGCAAAACTAGGTAAAATTTTACTCATTGAGTGATGAAAATTGAGTTTTAAATACAGTAAAAACTCTGAAAACCGGACCCTCTGAAAACCGGAATCCTCTGAAAACCGGACCATTTTAAAAGTCCTGTATTTTCTCCCTATATGTTCATTGAAAAAAATCCTCTGAATACCGGAACCTCTGAATTCCGAAAACCGGACGATTTTCTATTGTTTCTAATGCTAAACATGCATAAAAAATCCTCTAAAAACCAGACAGCAATTTCAAATGTCAACTTTCTGTGTACTTTAATGTAGATTTAAACATAATCTCAACAGGTGACATGTTCAAATACCAGGTAATGGTAATTTCCTTTTATCTATGCAGGTGTGAAAACACTTGTCAGTGTATGTTGATTTCTTATTGTCAATTAAATTATAGCTCTTTCATCATATTTATGTCTTTCCTCATGTAGATATGATTTTTCAAAAATGTTTTTAAAGTGTTATGATTTTTTTAACATAAGAGGTCTAAAAGAGTTGAGAAACTTTTTTTTAAATGATTCCTGTTTTGCTTTAAATTTTGATCATGAAGTTATCTTTGTTTTGATATCAATTATATGCAAAAATAGTAATACTAAATAAATACCATTAATTATATATTCCAAAGCTAATGAAAAAGATATTATGATATATTTCAGACAATGTGGTGTTTTAATTTCTGATTTTCTTAATTATATTCATGGATTTGCATAATAAAATAACTTAAGACATTTATTGCATAAAGAACTTAAAATATGACTTAGGCAAAAGGGTTGAAAAGTAAATACAAAATGATTGAACAGTCATTTTTTAAACACATCATAATTATCAATGAATGTATAAAACCTCTGAAAACCGGAATCCTCTGAAAACCGGACTTTTGGTCAAGTCCGCACAGGGTCCTGTTTTCAGAGTTTTTACTGTATGATGAAAACAGCAAAATTCATGGCAATAGTTTGGAACATTGTCAGTGAATAAGTCAAACAAATTCATTTGGTTTTAAACAATGCAAGAGAACAAGATTGTTTGTTTTTTATTTGTAAGAAATGTGACATACTTTGAGCAGAAAACTTGTCCACAATTTCTACAGTGATGTCTTCTCTCAGAGAATGTGAATCTAACATGACAATCTTGACATGTCTCAGCACCATCATCCTTCATCCAGTGGTCAGCTACAACACGACCTGGCTGGTCAGTCACTGTCCAACTGAAGATTCTACCTTTTGCATCACCAACATACACTGTCTTGTGGTCCCTGTGTGAAAACAACCAATTGTAAACTAAGAGATCATTTCACAATTACTAACATTGTTCATACATGGACATTATAAGGCAAAAGTTGTACTATGTAAGTTTTTCTGTGCCATTTATGAAATGAAATTTCAATTCAATTTAATTTTCATCTAACAAAACAAGTTTTTTTTTATATGACACACTTGCAATGCACTATTGTGCTTGTATTGAGTAAGGATATTTTCAGCTTTACTATGGATGTATGTTAGGTCACACTGATACTGTTTAGGTCACTATACAATGTACAATTTTCCAGCTGTACTGATCCCATTCTTGCATTATTTCAGGAACTTGTAGAACCACTGACCTAAAATTTAACCTGATAGGTGTAAAGTGACCTTAACCACTCTTATATGGAGACCCCCACAACATTAATTTATAAAACTACAAGTGTAATGTAAGTATCAACCTAGATATAGCAACTGCAGTAACAGCAGCAGGGTCCTTGTTATCTTTCCTTTCAAATGCTGTATGCATTGTCAACTTGCTACGGAACACCAACTGTCTCTGCCATCGGAATCCTGATAAAATATATACAGAACTTAATAACAAGTTATCTTAGAAGATATCTTTTGACAAATTTATAAATGTATGTACAGTCGAACTTTGTTCACTCGAACTCGGAGGGCCTGTGCAAATTTGTTCGAGAGATCGGTAGTTCGAGCCAACCGAGGTTGAACTATTTTCACGTAGAAAATATATATACGTATGAAAATCAGCTATGTAAAACAAAACATTTGAAAATTAAAAGATAGAGAATAAAAATTACCATCTCTTAAAGTATTTTTTGTTCTCTTTTTGCTGTATTTTTTCAAAATATCATCTGCTGAGGTAGCATTTTTAATTTCTTTTTCAGAGATGACTTCAAATTCTGATGAGAGTGACCTCTTGTTCTCTGTATCCAGTGACAACGACCTCTTATTGTCAGAATCCACCACCTCTTTTATATCTGGATGACTAACACTGTGTCCTATATGTCCAGTTTGAACCTAAAATCAACAGATAGTCTTTATATTTTTCTGAATATATCTAGTTCTTGTGAAAATGTATTTGTTAGCAGTGTTATATAGACAAATACAGTTATAGTTTCAGACTATGATACTATTTCCCATTAAAGTGGATTGTTTTACAATTGAAATATCTTCCAGAATATTTCAAATATTGATAAAAACAGAAGAAAGTTCAAATATTGATAAAAACAGAAGAAAGTTAAAGCAGCACGCCTCCAGATTCATGCTAATTTTCATGAAAATTTTGAAACTGTATTTGAATGTATAATATTGTGATATAACCAAAAGGAAGCCATTTCCACATTATCAATGGCATTTTCAAGCCATGTAAATTACCAAAAAGTGGTCAAAATATGCATAAATAGCCCTTACTGCGTTAGTAACGCAGTAGAAATATAGTTGTAAATACTAAAATATCAGTCATTAACCGAACATAACATGTAAAATATTGCTTGAATCTTGAATCATTTTACATATTTCTCAAGTTTGATTTTATTAAAATATTGACTCATCTGGAGGCATGCAGCTTTAACAATTTAATACCTTTTTAAAAATCTTTCTTGAGAACAATGTTTAAATTTCTCAGTGACTTGGTATGAACACTAACATACTACTTACATGATGAATAGCAATATTTTGTTCAAGAACAATTAATTATCTGCAATACATAGATACATAGAAATATCGGATCATGAATTTACTCATAATAACATCCACATATTATTTTTCACTAGTTTGACTATATGATGCTATAGCATCCAGTGGTATTGCTGGAATACAGCTGACACCAGATACTGTACAAATTTTACTTTTACTATTTGCTGATGACGTTGCTTTGACTGCTGATACTGTAAATGGGTTACAGAAACAATTAAATATTTTGTCAAAATATTGTAATGATTGGAAATTGTCTGTTAACATTGAAAAGTCTAAAATTTTGGTCTTTAGAAAAGGTGGCTACTTATCTCGTCATGAAAAATGGACATATAATAACAACCAATTACAATGTGTTAATGGATTCTCCTACGTTGGATTATATTTTAGTAGTAAGCTATCGATGCAAAAGATGGCTGAGAACAATGCTAATAAAGCTAAGAGAGTTTTAGTCTCCTTATTATCATCATTGAATCATTAAATGCCTATATCAAAAATGTATTTTTTAAGTTGTTTGATGCTAAAATTGCCCCCATTCTTTTTTGTGGATCAGAACTCTAGGGCCTTGAATATATGAATAATATTAAAAATACAATTGTATGCATGTAAACGATATATGAATGCACCCCTACGTTCCTGTAATGCTGTAATTGTTGGTTACTTTGAAGTATGCGCTGTATTAAATTGCGGCTAGGAGTTCTTTCTTCGCAAGACTAAAGATACGTCAAAAAATGTTGCTATATGGTGTTGTATTATGACAGTATTGGATAGAGATATTGGTTTGGTTATAGTTGGAAACAGCAGCATGCTTCAAATATAAAGTTATTTTTAAAACAGCTAAATTTAAGGCTTAATGATCAGTATCTACAAGATTGATTTGCTGAATGTCATTCAAGTGCTGAACTTACGTCTTATATTAATTATAAAATCAGTGTTTGAGTATGAAAATTACCTTGATATTGTTGACATCAAGAAATTTAGGAATGCTTTAGTAAGTCTTCGGTCATCATCACACCCTTTAATGATTGAAAAAGGGAGACACGTAGGTATTGATAGAAATCAAAGATTTTGTTTCTTTTGTGAAGACCAGATTGAAAATGAATTTCATTTTATTTTAGTTTGTTCAACTTAAAGTCATCTAAGAGAAAATTATATTAACAAAAAATATTATAATAATCCAACTTTGAACAAATTTCATGTATTAATGTCATCCAGAAAAGAACAGACAATAAAATGTTTAGCTATGTTTATTTATTATGCTCTAAAGCTGAGGTCATCATTATTGCAGTGTTAACATGTTGATTAATTTTAATCTTTATGTCAATTGATTATAGCAACAATCTAGATTATCTATATTTTATACTATTTTTTATGTCAATTGATTATAGCAACAATCTAGATTATCTAGATTTAATACTTGAAGGTAATCTCCCTTATTTAAGGGCATATTTGAATTAATACAACCTTGTTCCTGTTTTTTCTTGTTTTTCGTTTCTTCAAGATGCAGGAACAGGCAAATTAAATAGTCACTGTTTATATTTTCGTTTTTATAAAACTACTTATATACTTGTTTATATTATAAATATGTTGATTACTGAAGATTTTCATCGTATTTGTGATTATGTGTTATAATATGTAAATATGTTTTGTGTTTATTGTGATTTACGAGTCTTGCTTGTTATGTTAATTACCGTAAATTTTCACTTTTTTTGTGATTATGTATTATAATATGTAATTATGTTTTATGTTTATTGTGATGTATGGGCTGGTGGCCTGAATCATCTTAATAAAGAATTGAAATTGAATTGAAATTGACATCAGGTATGATACAAAATACTATCAACATAAATGTTAATGATAAAACAGACCTTTCATTATGGACCAAATCACTTTAAAATCAAAACTGGCTGACTGGTAATAGAAATCTTTTCATGTAATTTTGCTGTAATTTCTGCTTCCAAGGAATAACCCTTTTACCTGATTTTTAACGTTTTCACATTGATCCAAAAATGTCTAAATTAGAATTCACTATATTGCCCATTCACTATTTTTAATATTTTATGATTAAAACATTATCTTTAAAAAATTAAGGTGTTACCTTATCATCAGCATCTATTACATGGTCCAGACCTTCTGTTGCCTCCATTGCAGAAGAGACAGACATACTACCAGCAGATTTTAAACTTTGCACCTCTCCATCCCTGTTCAGTTCAGCATCAGTACCAACAACTTCCTCACCAGTGTATAGGTCACTTATACTACTGGATGTGCTGATATTTCTATCTATTGCACCTTGAGATTCCCGGCCTGGTTTTCCTGTACCTTCAAGTTTTTCTAACACTTTTGACATAAAATGACTATTACTGTCAGCTGATGAACCTAATTCAACAAGCTTTGAAGTCAAATGATCAGGGTCTTTAAAGTCTTGCAATCTGTCTGCCGCACTTTGGTTATCTTCATCATAACTATCACATGATACACTGCGCTTTCTACGATATGGAATATCTTCAGGTTGACTAGATTCAGGGGAGGTAATTCCAGATACATCAACAGTACCAGCAGAGTTACCTGCCAGTGGTGTGGATTTCTCTGGTATGACTAATTGGGTTTCATCAGGTACTTGTACATACTCCACACTCCACATCTAAATAAAGAAATTCAGGATTTCATATCTTAATTAAAACAAAATTTTAAAATTTTAGAACAAAATTTTATCATAATCATGTCTTTTGATAAAAACTACATCAACCATTAAGTATTTGCTCTTTAATCAGAAATTGTTAATCCACAGATAATCATTTTCTACTCACAATTAGTCATTATTCCTCTAGTTAGAAATTTATATGATTAACCCCAGCAATATAGTGAGTTACATCACTTACCCTGACAACACCATCACTACTCCCTGTCAGTATCACATTTCTACTGTCCCATTCCATTAACTGTAATCATAAAATCCCATCAATCAATTATATGTACAAATATCATATACATACAATGATAGAGATTGTTTCACAACAAAGTAACATTTATATAAACCTTTTTAATCAAATAAAGGTAGGTCAATAAAGATATCTACATTTGTGTTAAATTTCTCTCCTTTCATAAACAAATGAAAATGTCTTAAATATTCATCAAACATTTTGTTTTCTACTCATGCAAATATTTAAAATATTCTGTTTTCATATTGCTCAATCCCATTAATTAATGTTTCATGAAAGAACCTGGTTACCTGAGACATGGCTACACACAGTATCTGATGATTTCTGACAGATGCTGTATTTACACAGGCTATTTCTTCCCCATTTATGTTCCACACATGTAGATATGTACCTCCACATGATGCTATATCACCCTACAAATACATACATACATAGTTTTGACATACTTATTGGTAGCTGTATTCATGGTCCTGGAAACAAACAATCATTTTGACTTGTAGACATACTCACATTTTTAACAACATTTAAGAAAAAAATTGATTTATTTCTAAGCATTAAATACGACACAAGTATTCTTATTTTTAGAAATTCTAAAATTATAAAGATATTTACCGTGAGTTCATTAATGCAGACAGCGGCCACAGGAGCAGTATGTCCACGTAGTTGTCTAACATAGACAAGTTTACAGAGATCCCAGATTATACATGTCCTGTCACGTGACCCACTCACAATAAAGTTATATCCTGCACTAGCAGCTACACAAGTTACAGGTTCTATATGACCATACAGAGGTTGTTTCAGGTCTACACGTTTATCCTTCATATTCTGTTCCCACACATTCACAACCTATATATAGTTCATCAAATATGACACAATTCAAGTACAGTTATAGAACTAACACTACAATAAATCACAACATACTTTATTATTGTGTAAAAGAGAAATATTTTGTTTTTGTCTTTTTATTTTTACACATACAATATTAAGACAATATGTGACATCAGACAAGATGTTTACTTCAAACTTTCTAAATTTAAAGAAATCCACTATGTTATAAATGAAACTGCTATTTCATAAATACATCTTGCTTGAAATAAGCACAATAATATTGACTTACACAACTTGTTCCACCAGTTATAAACACCTTGGAGTTTGGACAAGCAGCACACAATATTTCACCATTATCTAAACCTTCAAATATTGATGTTGCCTGAAAAGAAAGATCGATAACTGAGAAATGTATATACAATAAGTCAGTAAGTGTATTTTTTTTTTTTTGGTTGGTTTACATTGCACCAACACAGTATAGGTCATATGGCGAGTTCCCAGTTTTATTGGTAGAGGAAGACTTCATGTGCCCTTCCATGTATCATTTCAGGCATAAACTGGCATGCAATCTTTTGTTTTTTTCTGTGGAAATTCAAATATTAAATTTTAAAGATATGTTTCCAAAATCAAAGTGACATTATAGCTTGAATGACCAACCTTTTCAGATTCATAGTTTCCTATCCTGACACTGAGATCTGAGAATCCCCAGGCGAGATATTTGTTATAGTTGGTAGGTATAAGAACTTTGTTCTGTTCTACAGCCAGGACATAGCGGTCAGTGTGCATCATCTGACCTACAGCACTCTTTAACTCTAAAATATTTTATATAATATACCAGTCAACAATTGTCATTTCTATAAAAAAAAACAATTCAATTGAAACATAAAGGAACAATTAATATTGAAAAGATCAGAAATAATTTTAAAGTAACACCGTGATAAGCAGGCAGATAGTTCTGAAATTAAACTCAATGATACAAGGCATGGGATCAGATTAAAAAAAAACTTTATCTTTAAAAAAATGTCTTTGAACATAATGATCAAACCAATTAAAAGCAATCAAAATTCAATTAACATATTAAAACATTCATGATAGTACATACAGTAAATGATATGCTAAACATAATATAACAACAATAGGAGATCGAAATTATTCATCTATATATACATATTATAAACTAATGTTCTTCAAAATAATTGACCTATTATAGCCCTCATAATGTTGGTCATTTTTACATACAAATTATGTTTTCTATCCTGCAAAATGAACAATCTGTGAATATAAATGAAAGAATACCTTTGACAGGTTGCATACAAGGTTTGAGATTATCAACATTATGGAAGAACAATCTATCAGCTGGGTAAGATGAAAGCTCCACCCCTCGTAGACTTAACTTCTTCTGTGGATGAGCTTTACGGAAAATCTGAAATATAGCACGAGTCAGACAGTCACTGACAGTTCTAGAGCATTATATTTAATAAATTACAAGATTGTTTATAAATTTCTAAATGTCAGAAACATATGTTTAAAAACATTTTCTTCATTGCACAACATTTATAAATGTGCAATTGTCTGAACAGCCATTAATCTAAAAAGCTCTTAGTATATTACATATAAAATCTGAAGCAATATTAAGTAAACTATCACCTGTTTTGGAATCTGTCCGAAGTTGTTGATAAAGCCAATGGTGGCATTTTTCTTCAGCGGGTCATCTATACTGTCAATATCAACATTCCCCTCGTAGAACAGATGATGGAATACATTGACAGAATCAACTGCTGCCTGACCTTGTTGCTTACATCCAAATATCAGATCAATCCATTCATGAAGTCGGGAACTTACATAGTCAGATTCTAATGCCTGGTCAACATAAAGATACATCTTTTATTAAAACTTTCTTTATCTGATAAAGTCTGTAATACCAATCCATCAAAAAGTAAACTTTACACTTTATCTTTATAGATCAAACTTTTTACTTTGAAAAATAAACATACTCACTATACATCAATAAGAAGAAAACATACACTAGTAAAATGTTATTACCTCTCGATGAGCTCGTATAAACTCTCTTGGATCACCTTTAGCCCATGGTGGTAATACTGCATCATTTAACTGTACACCACTCTGCTTACATCCTATAAACAAAACATGCATCTTCATTTAATACTTCATTTGATCCTCATACATTTTGAATAATATCCTGTATGACCAAAAGAACTTGAGTTATTTTGGACTATTAATATGCTTTAATTTCTTTTTGACTTCTTGCATTAGTATTATCAATTTTTAAAGTATGAGTTAAATTTCAAACTGGCATTAGATCAGTTTTGAGAAAAAAGTTCACATGGTATCTTTTAACAACATAAAAGGAAATAATACTAGTTCAATTTGTTACCTAAGTCAAAGTTGTTATCATTAATCAAGAATTCAGGTAGGTAAAAGAATTCAGGTATTAGTTCTTTCACATCAGCCATGTTGTTTTTGGAGGCTGATAGCCAATTCTCTTTAACACTGTGAAACATCCGGTCTGCCAGATCAAAGTGACCACCCTTTGTTCATGAAAACAAGACAATAAATAATTATTTATAAATCAGTTAATCTCATTCTGTAGAAAACAGACATTTTTCACTAATAGAATATGTAAGTAACCAAATTTGAAATGTAACAGATAAACAATGACTGTATTAGTAACACAATATTAGTTAAAAGGAAGAATGATAAAATAAATCCAAAAATTAAGCTCATAATAAACGGGAATATCTAGCTCTCGAGTAACTGTTTAGTGGAAACTGGGCAGAGCCTCGTTACCGCCGTAAACAGTTACCCTCAAGCTAGATATTCCGGTCTGTACCGGCAGCCAATGTAAGATTCTTATAATATCACATCATTATAAATGGTGTACTTAAGTGACATTAGTCTGACAATGTACAAAACGTTTACCTGTAAGTTAAGGAATGTTTGAGTAAATGGTTCCAGTCTAACTAGGTACGAGGCCACTATCATAGCTGAGGAATAGTGAGTTCCATAATGGTATGGTGGTGTCTCACCTAAATATTCACAAAACAAACATGTATCTAAACATCTATATATAGTTTATATTCATCTGATATGAATGAGTTGCAGATCAGAACATGCAGACATTTTGTTGAATGTTTCTTTTGAGGCTCTGATTGAAAGTTCAAAATATCTTAAATTTACAATGTTGTCTATATGTACGGGATTTTTTTTAATTTGAAATTTCATATGATAAATATATGTTAAAGTGGTTATAATATCAAAACGAGTTGCTGGCCTGGCTCAAGCCTGGGTGCATAGTTAAGTCATTATGAAAGCTAATTATTAACAAGTAGAATAACTTTTATGAAATACACATAACTAGCAATTGGTCATAGATTCAAAATAAAGTTTCAAAGAAATTCAAAAAGTCTTGAAAACCTAAAATTAAGGATATAAAAAAAATACACTTTTTAAAAAGAAAATATGATTATCTTAAATATAAGACATGTCTAGAAATCTTTCAACTATAAAAACATTACCTTGTGGATCATCCCAATCCTGAAATCTTTTCTTGAAATGTTTTAGTCTGTCCGGAGTCTGTGCTCCCATTGGTTTAGAAAGATCCCGGAATGTCTCAGCTTTGGAAAGGTCTAACTCCTAATGAAATATATATATCATATTGTTTTATTCATATAAATATATACATTTTCATACTTTAACATGTCTCATGTTAAGGGAAGTATTATTTTTTCATTAATCTACATTGTCTGTTTGGCATATTACATTTCCAATTTTCAAGTAAATTTTAAGATAATCTTACAGATAAGACACAAAGTGAACATTGATAAAATCCATACCATTTCATCTAGTTTAAACTATTTACTGTTAAAATTGAAGTGAAACCCTAAGTGATATAACATGACAGATATATTCAACATTTATACCTCAGAATCATAGTCGGCAACAATCCATGGAAAGACAGGATACTGCATCAAATCATTGTATGATCTTCCAGCTAGTGTGTTCAGATGCATCAAATACTGGAAGTTGTTGATCTCTCCTCTCTACAATACAAAATTTACATATATCATAAAATTCATCTAAATTGGTAACGTCATGCAAATTTATAAAAAAAATACAACACTACATTATCTTGGGTATTTTTTTCACTAGTGTAATGTTATGTTTAAAGCTGAATCACTTAATTCTTTATGTTATCATAACAATAATTATTTCAAGTAAGACAACATTACCTCCCATCTTTGTGTCACTGACTTTTCCCCTATTAAGCTGCTGATTAGACCAGTTCTACAACATAAACAAATTATATGGAACTATCCTCTCTAAAAACAAACAAACCAGTAATGATATTTGGAGTGATCACTAACTTGAAAAACTAAAATTTCCACCTCACAATTTTTTTAAACTAAAATATAAATCAAGTTTAATAAGACTAAATCTAACAATTTTTGGTAGATCTGAAATTACAATACTTGATACACAAGCAAAAATGTAAGAAAAACCATCAACCTACAATAAAAGTGAGCTTTATAGTTTTCATATTTTTTCTAAATCAGTGGGATTTCAAACCTTCACAATAAGTGTAAAGTAATACAAATTTATCAAGTGTAATCTATTGACCATGAAGATAACCATCTACATGATCAAAGTGGTTTAAAGAAGTATAACATACCCAGCTTCTATCCTGGCATTTTGTTTCTGTCCGGACACTGAGAGATGAGCACTATCTGTAATAGCTGTAGCAACTGTCATAAACCTACGATATAATCAAAGTTAACATTAACTGTTATATGGTAATACATGTATTTATTATCAAGAAATAACAAACATATGTATATGTGATGAGCATACTGGCCTGACTCTATACTGGTGGCAAACGTTTTCATTTCTGGCAGGGTGAAGGGTCAAACTATTGCAAACACACTATCCCCCCAACCCCACCCCTTATTCTCACAAAAATTAACCTCTAAAAAGCTTATGGCAATAAAATTGACTGGAAAAAAACACAAAATATAGAATTATCAACTACTCATTGTCAAAAGGAATGTATTCAGCATAAGAAATAATTGAAAAAATTAAGAAACATTGAGACAAAAACTTACTTGGAGAAAACTTTATTTCTGACTTTCTTAGGAAAAGCTAGTAGATAGTTTCTACCATCAGAAGAGAACACCTCTATAGCTATGGGCTGTAACAAATATCTACGTTTATGTACTTCACGGATATCCTCATACGCAAACTTGCTGTACCTGAAATCATAATCAGATATTAATATTCTGCTACTTTCAAAATTGTCAATGAAATAATTCAAACTTTCTGAAGTTGCTGTAAAATGATTTATTGAAGTTTCTTTATGCAAATTTCTATACCTGCATTGTCAATGTTATTTAAACAAATTGATTCTTAACACATATATCAATTTCTCCATTGCTTAACTACAAGCACCAAAAATGACATGTTTACACCTACAATCAAATCTCTGTGCAAACTAAACATCTTTGCATTCTGACAAATCTCTACATGATCAATTCAAATACTTTGAAATTGAAATAGCCTAAATAAACACATTCTTTATACAGTACTGGTACATAAGATGTTAAACATTAGAAATGATCAGCATAAAAGCACTATAAATTCAGACTTACGTCTTTTTCCGATTCTTTGGTGCCTTTGGGATGATTGGTTCATGTAGGCTGAAACAAACAAAAGCAACAACAATAATAATTAAACAATCTGAGAAATACCTGGTAAATCAGCAAATATCAAAATAAATAAAATATTGAAGAAGAATATTACTTGCATGTGAAAATCTAAATGAACATTATTAGCTAGATCTTTGGTGTTACACAGCAACATGTTGATATAATATATTTAAAGTAGACCTACTCATCAGGTAAGGTATCTATATCTTTGATCTCTTTAGTTGCTAGTAAAGTGAAGCCATCTATAATATGGAAATGTTCTTTGCCAAACATCAACAGTCCTTCTGCTGTCTCTAGACCTTGAATCCTTGCTAGACGGAACATATGTGATATCTACAATACACAACAGGTAAATGTCAAAATATGCCATACTGTTCTGATATATATAATCCAATGTTCATGCATAAATCCTTCCATTTTCTTCATAAAAGCATAACATCTAAAAAAGTTGAACATAAATTGAAGAACCCATCACTTAAAAATAAATGTTTTTCTTTAACCCAAAATTCTAAAGCATTGTCAAGATTTCATAAATTATCATAATTATGTAAGGAAATCATTAAATTTTTTCTAGTCCTCAATGCCAAAAATAATTCTAAAATCTGTTATCCCAATTTGAGCATTTTACCTTTTCCCCTTCTCCAAGTAACCTCAATATAGCCTGGTTATCCCCCTTCTTCTGTGATGTATCTTGAACAGTTTCAGACTGGTTATCTAAACTCTCTTGTGTATCAGACTGGTCTACTTTCTCTACATCAACATCATCATCATCATCATTACTCTCTGGCATTGGTTTCTGTATCTTCTTTGGTAGCAACTTTGGAATCTTCATAATATCTGGTCATATAAAAACATACATATTGCCCTATCATCATATATTTAGCTTCAGTGCAAATAATAACTGATCATGTAATTACATACATATTGTTACATCATTATACATATTTAGCTTATCAAAACTTTATTACATGTATTTCTGCAATACTTATCAAACTTGAAAGTAATAAGGGAACATGTATTATAAATTTCAATAAATATGACAGTTAATTTTTGTTCTTGAAACAGTATGCTTACCTTCTGGTGATCTTTCTTCCACCTCTGAATCAATAGAGGGCAGTTCCTCTGTACCAAGTTTGATAGGAAGTACATCCTCACCAAATAAACTTTGTGGACGGTATTGTAAATAGTACGCCTTACTGTCATTACTAACTGGTACCTTGTATTTCAATGGCTAAAAATATTGTAAAATACACACCTATTACATATGCAGACTATGAGATGTTCATTTTAAAGCTTTATAATGCATTTTACTAAAATATTTTAGAAATGAAAGAATTGGTATATGAAGAAATTTTTCTTTACAAAATAAAAGACTGAGAATAAAAGACTAGAACAGTTTGCATTTTTAAAGTTATTTGTAATGAAGTTAAGATATAGTTATCATTTGTGATAATTCTCAAATGGCTTTCATAAAACTTCTATTAACCCAGTAATTAAACCATTATAATAAAGTTATGGATGTAGAAATGTCGATACTTACACTATTGCTCATATCAGGTCTGTATGGATAATGTACATAGAACATATTGTTCTTCACCATCTTCTTTCTCATACGGAATGGACCTACAATATTCAATATTTTTTATACATTTCCTGATCTTTAAAATCTGATTTAAATTAACTATTCAAATCATAATGATTATTAATTCAACATATCATATAATCAATATCTATTTAGGCAAAAATGTATCTAAAGCAATAAACGTTCATATCTGTAGGTACTGTGTTGCTACAATGTCCTTGAACTTAATTTTCAATATTATAATCAAACACACAATAAATGAAAGCCTTTAGAAACTTCAAAAAAAGATTTTATTTTTAACAACTGTGCATTTTGCACAGATTTGACTGAAAAATCAATTCAAGCCTGCAATAGTTCATAATATTGCAGCAACAGATAAAACATTTGCTGAAACCCAACAGCCAGACAGTTGGCACATATTTTATCAACACAAATAGCTACAATATATTGTTATATCTCCCTTACCTTCAGTCATATCAAGCATCCATTTATCTAGCCTAGATCCAACTATAGGTCCCCATAGTCCTCTCTCACGTAACAATTCATGCTCCATTTCTGTCCACTCTTCTGTCAAATATCTGAAAAATTTAAACAATGAATTAACAAATAAAATTCTTTCAAAAAGATTAAAAATGGGTCAAAGACAGAAATGGCCAGGATGCATTTGTATACCAAATATCATGAGGCTGTGATGTTATGAACATTTTCTACCATTGAAGGTTAATGTAGAAAATTTAACAAAGTCCGTAAACAGGAAGTGGATGAGTGACAGACCTGAAATCGAATCTCACGGTATGGGACCATCTGTAAATGCTGTATACCAAATATCAAGAGACTGTGATAAGTAGTTGCTAAGAAAACTGTTACGAAAATATTTTCCCCGCCCGTTCATCTGCCCATCCGCCACCTGACATTCACTATAAACTGGGTCTGCACCTGTGCAAACCAGCCAGAAATCTTTTTATATTTATAATCAGACATTTTAATTTTGTTTTTGTGAATGAGCCAAATTGAAAAAGATAGTCAAAATTAAAATCTATTTCTGTTCATGGAAGGATAAAAAACAGCAAAATTTCATGTGCTTTATTTCACAACATTAAATACTGACTTCAAATGCAGTGCATGTACCTAAAATATTGCAAACACATGTATAAATGTAAGAATATTATAATACCAGTTTAAATGTTATACAATACACAGTTTCACAGTGCTGTAAGAAGATGAGTTTCTAACCTGTCCATATATTCCTGTGTTTGTACATATTGTCTGTGCTGTAGCTCAACTAGATCTTTCACCAGTAATAAATGGTCCAATGACCACATCATATAATCCTGAAAACAATATATATTATTAATGATATACAGGTATATCAAACTACATAGCTGTCTATAGCTATACCTCTTAACATCTCCCATTATCTGAAGATCTGTATTTGAGCAATGCCTTTTAGTTTCAAAATGAAAAAATACTGTTCAAGTTACACATTTTTTATTTGGAAATTGCATAAACAAGAACCATGATTGTACAATAAACTTTTATTTTCATAGAAACTTTTGCAAAATGCATAATAAAACATTATTTTGATTATCTCTATTAAGGTATCCAGTTTGTACATGTAAAATGTATTATACATGTACATCATAGTTTATTTATTTATATAGTATTTATTGAAATTTTACAAGCCTTACATAATGTCACTTTATTTGAAATGTATTCTATTATAATTTTACAACTACAAACCATAGATAACTGGAAAAAAAACAATAACACTTCCAATAACATTGGTAAAAAATTCAACCTTAAATATTTAAAAGTATTATTTGTAAAGCAATGTGTGTAAAACTTACATGTGGATGGAATGTGGTAGTTGGAGATGATTTAAGGGGAAGTTCTCTTTTTGCCTTCCTTGTAGCAAAACTCAGTACCTTACTGCTCATCATCTGTATAGTCTGTTTAAATAGATAAAAACATTGTTCCAAACTATAACATTCAAGTTTAAATTCCTACATCAAATGCATGTTTTAAGAAATTCCTACATCAAATGCATGTTTTAAGAAATTTTACACAAATAATTGATACTTTAAGAGATTATTTTAATGGAAAAATACAATATACTTCTGGATTTTCTGTGAAATAATTATTGGCATAATAACAAGGTAGGAGAGTGTAAAAACAATTTTGCTTTGACCATGTCTCTATGTGTAACTGTTTAACTTTTAGAATACACCTTTCTAATGATCATTTCAACGCAACTACCAGGCTTCGCGAAAGTTGCCGGACCGTCGGACATGTCCGGCAAAAATCAGGCCGGTCCAATATTTTTTTTCGGAGTTCCGGACCTTATGTCCGGTACGAATACCGGGATATATCCAAGACCGATCAAGACCGAGTTTTCTCCCTTGAATAAAAAAATGAAAAATGAGTTTTGATTCGCCGTTTCATTATAAGTGTCCGATACATACGACTGTTAAGAACCAAAATGTCGGTGTTACTACATTATTACGCTGGCGCTACGCCCGGCAAAAATCGTAAACTATCCAATGAAGAAAAAAAAGCGAAACAAAAGGAATACGAGTCCAGGCGCCCGCCGAGAAAATTTGTGGGTAAATGGAAAAATGGCCGCTTTGATCATGAATGTTTTAATTTCCAGACAGAATCCATCAATCTGGATAAACTAATGTTTTATTTAAGGGAATAAAATTGTGTTGCAAATCTTTAAAAGTTGTTATGTCTTCAAAAAAAACACCAAGGTATTACCATATACATATATTTTGGGGAAAAAATTCGGTCAGACAAAAGTTCTTTCGGTCAGACAAGAATTGAAAGTTTGTCTGACCGAATGTCAGGCAAATTTTCAGCAGTTTCGCAAAGCCTGAACTACTCTAGACAACATTCTACTGAATTAAAGTTCAATTCTTACTTCAGAATTAACTCATGTTTTGTTTACAAAAGGAGCAACTGCCCAATCTTAATAAAATCCATCGACAAAAGACTAAGTATGAATACCTTGATTTGTGGTGGAACTTTTTCAATCATTGTGTATGCTCCCTTGCGTTCATTTTCAGCATAAACAACCCAAATACGTGATGCATGTTCCTGAATTACTGGTCTGTAAAAATAATCAATCAATCAAGTGTTTTAACAGTGATACTAGTTCAATACATACTGTGAATCATGATTTAAATAAATCCTTTAAAACTTGTGAAAATGATGAACTGAATTATAGCTATATAAAATTTTATGAAAACACTATCTTGTTAACTACAAAGGTACACATGTGAATTACCTGACAGAATGAAGGTCAGGGGCAGTAAAATCAGCTGTTTTTGCCAGATCTTTGTTGTTCATTTGTGTCCTAAATAGCTCTTCCAGTACCTAAAAACATGGTGACAATTTTAGCAAAACATACAATACCTGTGAAATGTCTATAATAATTATTTTGACAAATTATATTTGGGTAATATTTTGTCTCACTATTTACATCTAATATGGTTTGAACACAGAAAGTTTCAAGTACATGTATTATGAAATGCAACAGGATTGCATCATTATAATTTCCCTATAATGACTGCCAGCTTTTTTGCACTTTCTGGTGCATAAGCTCACTATTCTTAAGACTTCAATGTACAGAAACAGAACATGTAGACTTTTGATTCTATTTCTACATATTTTGTAAAAAATGTAGGAGGAGTTATCCAAAAATTTGTGGACTTTTTAAATATCTCTTGAACGACAATGTGTATTGTAATGAAATTTTATCAGCATACATTGTAGAATATTATCAACACATTTTGAAAGGAACAGTTAATTATATCAATAAATAATGATTTTATATTGCTTTTAAATAAGCACATACACGTGACCCGGCGCACAGTAGAAAAGCACAGTAAGTCATCGTATATTTCTTGCTAAAAAAAAAAACTAAAAAATTAACGAATTAACGTAGAAAACCCGCTGAACATCGCATGTTTCTTCTATGATGTCATTTAAGTAATTCTTTAAAATAATGGACGTCATTTCCGTTCATTATTGTTGATATCGCTAGAAACGTCAGACGCCTTTATTGTTTACAATGGGAATATGACAGACACAGAGTAATTAGAAAATTGCATGATCATAAATTTTTGTTGTAATTTGGAAATGACACCTACAAAAACATTTGATAAAAATCAGCAGACGAACAGAGAAAAGAAAATTTTACGATCATTAGTGTTAAAGTGGCATAAAAACATTAAGTGATGGACATTACTTTGAGAAGCAGTAACCGTCATTGACTGCGTAACATTGTACATTATTATTATGACGTTGACGTCAATATCTTTTTGGAGTGCGCCGCTGTCGCCGACATGGGTTTATGTAAAATTAAATATTGTTGTAATGTAAGAAGCTACTCACATGAATTTTTTTGTGTTTATTTGTTATTAATTCTTCCAAGCAGTGTAAGAATTTGAAATTAATATCTTAAATATATTTTAAGCAACAAAGAAAGTCCACGAATTTTCGGATAACCCCTCGTATTTGTCCACAGATTTCTAACATTTCAAGAATAAAACTTAAATCTTCTCCTTTTAAACAAACAACTTACAGGTTTTTTATGGACATAAAGCTCCTCCCAGACACGTTTAGCTGCCTTAGAGACGAGGAACAAACCTTCAGTTGAAGCTCTACCTCGTTTACTGGGAGAGTCAGACTGTGACCCCTCTCCTCCCGTATCCAAACTCAGGTGCCATGTTGTCTGAATAGGTTGCTCCTCTTTTAAATTGGTGTAGCTAACAGTAAAATAGTAAATATTAAATGTTTGCTATCATTGTAATTTTTCACTACATAATATCAAACACATGTACATGAACATAAAATCAAACATGTATATATGAAATAAGAACACATCAGTGTAACTTTAGTTTTCAAATAATAACTTTATGTATTTTCCATTCTGTTACAGGATAACAACTATTCAATATTATCACTAGTAAATAAAATACGCCTAAAACACAAACATGATATATCTCCTTTACATAATGAAACTTTACAAAAAGTCATTTATGTACATTTTCAAAGCACTAAAATTATTTAATTTGGTATTGTATTTCTATGAGATGTTATAAATGAGAAGCAGACACACAGCTCGTAGTTTACCTATTGGCAGTATCATCTGTCAGGTTCAGTAAGCAGTAACAAAGACAACCTAGAAACTCCTGATCATAGTTATTAGGTCCAAACACCAGGCTTCTATTGTTGGTCAGTTTGTGGAGTGAGTCTAGCACCTGTGTCTGACCAGCTACATTATCTACAGGTCTAGACAACTGGAACAGGATTGTACGGTTCAATGACTTGTACACAGACTCCAGGGACAGGCCTGATGCTGGAATTATAATATATTCTTATTAATGGAAGTAAAAATATACAGACATAGACATTTATCAGTTCCATTTAATTATTTCAAATAAACCAATAGGCATTCATTGAAGATCAAGGTTGTACTTCTATATATCAAAATGGAATTAACAAGAGGTATGAATGTTTATCAAATGAAGATGTTTTAACAAAGGTAAAAGCTGTTAGCATAAAAACAAATAGACACATCTTTCACAAAGTATTCTCACTCATCTGACATATGAGCTTAATAAATTTGTAGAAAGGTTGATTATAAAACTGCAGTAACTTATATGAAATAAAGAAGTACTTACAACAGTTTTGTGATCAACCATTGATATTGAATTCTTATCTTGAACACTTCCTTTCTGTAGTAAATCCTAAAACTATGAAATTTAAGGAACTTCCAACACAGATATTAAAGTGTTACCATGTTTACTTACATTTTCTTTTTGCCTGGGAAATCAGTTTGCTTATGAAGTCAAATATTTCCTTTGTTTCCCTTGTAAACACTCCTGAAAATGAACACAAACATTAAATAGAAATATACTATCATTCTTAACATAATAAAACTTTACTTTGGGTAAATTGCCTTTTTCCTGATGCTTTTTTAGCATAAAGTTGGAATACTTCTTTTTACATTGTTATTGTCAGGTATAAGAGAATTGCACCAAATATACAAATCCTTTCCAATAACCCCATAGTACTTCACAGAACTTAGGTTACTCTGAATATTTTTTAGCTTTCAATATGTGACCACAAACCCCAAAGTGCTACTCCAGCGATATATCAAATCATAAACATACTAACAAAATATTCTACCCAGGTACATTTCACTTTTCTAGAAATATTCTCATTATGCCAAATGACAATTGAGGAAACCGTCACTATCATTTTATGATGGTTTAAAGTATGACCCTGACTGTTTTTGTTTGTTTGTTTGTTTCATCTTACGTCTTCTCCCAACAGTATTTCAGTCATATAGGCGGGTAGTTTCCTAACCATCGTTCCTTGAGAGTTACACCAGTACTAGACTACGTTCCTCCGTGCTAAACTACCAAAGCATCTCCCGGGGATCGAACCCACGCCAGAGAGACCCTGACTGAACCCTTATCTTTTTTATACACTATACATACACTGCAAGTTAGTATCCACTACAGTATACTCTTTCAATGAATTATAATCCTTTATTTTTGCATAAAAAAAACAAAAACAAAACAAAAAATCAAAGATTTCTAAAATGTCTGGTCATTTGTTACTATCAGTCACCTCAAACAAAGCTTGAAATATTAAAATATTGTACAATACTAGTAAGAAATACAAAGGCAAAATATATGCAACATCTATTACAGTAAGCAGGAAATATGAAAAGAGTAATATACCTTGCCAGAGTTTATCTACGACTCTACTAGTAAAATAGAACACACTGCTAGCTAAGTTAGAAAAACTTCCACCAGCCATGATAGGAACTGCTGCCTGGTCTCCTAGCAACACATCAACAGCAACCAGATGGTCCATGATGTTCTTCAACATCTGTGTCTGATATTCTCTTTGCTGGGCACGAGTTGCATGCTCAGGTGTAGCCTGTATAATAAATTTGAAAGATAAAACATTGCCTGTCAAGTATACTCCCATTAAAATTACCCTAGAGGTACCGCATGTTGCAAAATATTTAGTCAGAATATTGTCTAGTACATGATTAAATACATCCCTTTCTAAATACTCAAAACACTTGTTATGACTCCTCCTCATACAGACAAATGGTTTAAACCAGGGAACTATAAATTACTACATCTTATAGTCAATTTCAATTAAAACTCAACTTGTAAGGAAATATTTGTAAATTAGGTATAAGGCAAATACACTGAAAGTTAAAACAACATATACAGAGAAATGAGAAACTTTGATATAACTCACCTCTAACATAATATCTATAACTGAAGCTGATTTTGTGGACATTGGCTGTGACATACTGTCTATAACAATAGTCTTTAGAAAATCTATAACAAACTTCCTAGCTGGATGTAACGACAAAAAACCTGAAATAAAATGGTGTCATTTTAAATACTGCTTTTTATCAAGTTGATATCATAAGGCATAAAGGCAATGGCATCCTTAAAACTTTTGACCAAATGTAATTTTTACTTCAGTTATATGAAAACCTGTCTTCTTTCTAAATAAAACATAACTACCCCAACGGAAACTGTTTAAAAACTTACCATAATATGATGCTATAATACAAGAGTCAGGGGAAGGTAAAACTATTGAACAACCTTTGTAGAACAATACCCTTTGGATGACAAATACTGGTTCTTGCTAAGAGGTGTAGCTCAAGACAGGTCAGATTTATTATGAAGTCTTACTTTGAGAAGAATTGATACTGTTTTTCTATAGAGGCTTTTGTTTTAAAGAGGTAATTACTCCACTGGGGGTCAGTCTGCAGAGGCTGCACTGTATTCTGATAAATATGACAGGGTTAACTTACATGTTCTATCTCTATCAGGTGATCTAACATATACCATCTCATCACTCTCTGGAAATGGCTGAAAAAATATACCATAAATAACACAAGTCATTTAATATAATAATAGAAAATGCTACATTGCCAGCTTAAGATAAGAATGAAAACTGTATAAACTTAATTCAATTCCTTTCCTCATTGTATGGTATTATAATAATTACATGTAAATATAGCAGATAAACATTTGAACTTTGTATTGTAGAACCAATGGTTGTATTGAAGTTTTCTAATATTAAATTCTTAAATACAGCTACAAATGCTTTATTAGAGTTTATGGTTAAGGTTGATTTGTTTCATCAAATATATATTAACTGCTTTTACCAGAAAGATGATAACTTGATTTCTTTAACAATAGCTTGCAGTTAAGTGCTTCTAGGTTAATGCCATTTATTGCCCAGCTATTGGAACTAGAACTATCTCTGAATGCGACTCATACCCCCACCAATGTCCTTGACAGAAGACAACTTGGAAAGGTGGTTAAGGGAATAACTTAAGTGACACAAATACATAAAAAGAAATTATCTCTGGTGAAAAAAAGACTAATTGTACAGGTAATAGTAAAAATATCTATTATCAAATCATGTTCGAAACAGTTACAAATAACCTTTCATTTTCCCAATATACTAAACTTTTTATAAGTCAATTTTTGACCTTCAAGTGTGGCCTTGACCTTCAGCTGGCACAAGGGTAAGATGGGTTCTGCACATCGCCCAATTGGAGTGAACATTTGTGTAAAGTTTGAAGAAAATCCATCCATTAGTATAGAATTTATAGAGCGGACACAACATATTGTCTAGTATTGATTGTATGTAAATTTAAAGACTTAAAAAGGGGCATAACTTTGTCAAAATCCAATACAGAGTTATGAAACTTGACCTGCATATCGTAATTGTGACACCTCATATATCTTTTAAGTTTCAAGCAAATACCTATGCTAGTTTCCGAAATATTCAAGAACATGTTTTAATCTAAGAACATTTTCTAAGTCAATTTTTGACCTTCAAGTCTGACCTTGACCTTTAGCCTGCACAAAGGTGACATGGATTCTGCACATAACCTTGTTTAGGTGAACATTTGAGAAAAGTTTGAAGAAAATTCTTCCATTAGTATAGGATTTATAGAGTGGACAAAACATATTGTCTAATATGCGATTGTATGTAAATTTGAAGATTAAAAAGGGGCATAACTTTGTTAAAATGCAATACAGAGTATGAAACTTGACCAGCATATCTTAATTGTGACACTTCATTTATATTTTAAGTTTCAAGCAAATACCTTTCCTAGTTTCAGATATATTCAGATATATGTTAAAATTAAAGAACATTTTCTAAGTCAATTGTTGACCTTCAATTGTGACCTTGACCTTAAGCCGGAAAAAGAGTGACATGGGTTCTGCACATAACCTTGTTGAGGTGAACATTTGAGCCAAGTTTGAAGAAAATCTTTCAATAAGTGTAGGACTTACAGAGCGGACACGACATACTGTGTAATATTTGATTGTTTGATATTTGACCTTCAATTGTGACCTTGACCTTGAGCTGACACATGGGCAACATGGGCTCTGCACATCCCATTGTTGAAATGAACATTTGAGCCAAGTTTGAAGAAAATCTTTTAATTAGTGTAGGACTTACAGAGCGGACACGACATACTGTCTAATATTTGATTGTTTGATATTTGACCTTCAATTGTGACCTTGACCTTAAAATGACACATGGGCAACATGAGTTCTGCACATCCCCTTGTTGAGGTGAACATTTTAGCCAAGTTTGAAGAAAATCTTTCAATTATTGTAGGACCTACAGAGCGGACACGACATACTGTCTAATATATGATTGTGTTTGATATTTGACCTTCAATTGTGACCTTGACCTTGAGCTGACACATGGGCAACATGGGTTCTGCACATCCCCTTGCTGAGGTGAACATTTGAGCCAAGTTTGAAGAAAATCCTTCAAGTGGTATAGGAGTTATAGAGCGGACACGAAAATGGAGACGGACGGACGGACGGACGGACCGACCGACGCGACAAAGCGAATCCATTATAGCCCCCCCCCCCCCACATTTTGTGGTGGGGGTATAATGACATTGTATCATATATGGTAAATATCTTACCTTAAATTCATCTTCAGGAGTGGTGACACACTCGTCTGAGTCTGGTGAGAAGTAAGGGAACAATGTAGCAGACAGGGCAGCTATAAAATCTGGCTGTGTAGACAGTTGTATAAAGTCAGAATGGTTATGGTAGAGAAACAGTAAAAACTGTATCAATGTAACAGGATACTCCCTCGCCCAGTTCTCTCCCTCATGATCCAACACCTGTCATATACAGAAATTTTCCAAATTAAAAAGAAAATAATAATTAAGTAATAAATAATTAAAATGAATCTAAATATTCATGTTTGTGATATTTATGTATTGGCAAACTTTGCAATCAAACATGACTTGCTATGTCTTATTGTAGATTTTTATATATTAATAAATCTCTATTTATACGAGAAATGTTACAATTTGTACACAATTTAGTTAAATTGTTGAACCTTTTCTGATTAATCTTTCATATTTTTAAACATTCAATATATCACAGCAAAAAAAGTATTTGCTATTAGAAAATTTGCTGCAGTACAGCAATGATACTGGTATTTTCCAACAATATTGACCTGGCACTTCATTAATTTTCGTAAAGGTCATTTGAATAAACACTAACCAGTATCTACTGAATATATAATATATTTGCTAACTTCACTCGTCAGCGAGGCGTGGTGTATTGGTATAGATGTCGGATTACCGATCTGAAGATCTATGGTTCGAATCTTTACCAACACCACGTTATTTTTTTTTTACCTGCAAGAATTAATATGAAATAGTTTTACTAGACCTGGTTTTAGAAAAACCTTTTACGTGGTGTTTTTATACACAATTGTATATTTATTTTATTTTATAACAGTATCTTTCAACGGTTCTTTTTGTGACATTATGCAATCGTTTGTGATTTTGTGCATACACGCTATAAAGGCAATTATTAAAAATACTTCACTGATGGTGACAACAAATAAAAGATTTGCAATAGTTTTAATGGTAATTTTAAAATTAAAACGAAAAAAAAAATAAGTTGCTGTAATAGGATTCGAACTACCAGATTCGAACTACCAGATTACGTCTACATTCTTCAAGTGAAAGTCCTTTACCAACTGCGCTAAGATGGATTTTTAAGTTACATAATTTCAACAATTCAATATTTACATTCATATCAATTTACAAGCAGATCGTAAAGCTTACGGAATATACCGACTACAGGGTCAAATGCAAGAGTGCCAGGTCAATGTTGTTGGACAATACAATGTTAATTCAAATACATTTTATTGGGATTTAAAAAAAATAATCAAATTAAAAATTTACCATAATATTAACAATATTACTTGTTTATGATATAATAATAATATTAAATATTTAAAAAGGTGTAATATTTGGTTGGCTAAGAATTATGATAAAATTATTAAGAATATAACTTACAGGGTTAAGCATACTTCTGATCATAGTAAGCAATATAAGTGCAGCATCAGAACACAGCTGTATACCCTTATCTCTTGTTAAAGTTGCTGTCTGTTTACTTAATGGGGCTCCAAACAATACTGTCCATACTGAGTCAAGATTCAACTGAAATATACCAATATATGTACTGTAAGTAATCAATAAAGCTTATTCAATGTTCCTTTTTTTGTCAAATACTGACTGACGATACAGATTTTACACCTATATCTACATATTCATATTTTGTGTCACCAAAAATTAAATGTCTTAAAGGTTCTGAATTGAAAATTGTTGAGATATATTTCCTAATGTTGAAATAATGTTAAATGCAGCACACCTACAGATGTATGCTATGTTTATGAAAGTTACACAAGGTTTGTAAATAGTAAAGATAATGTTAAATGTAAAATTATAGTGATTTAAGCTGTCTACGGCAATTTCCACAATCTACATAATTTAGGTGAAACAGATAAAAACAATATACAGAAAGAACTTTATCTATTAGAAATAGGCATAGATATACGGTTAGGGTTTTACATCTCTTTGAAATTTAGGGGTCCAGTGGATGCACAGCCTAGAAAAGTAGGGGTCCAGGCCTGAATTTTAGGGGTCCAAAATTATATTCACTATAAAAGGCTATGAAGACCACTCTATTTTGCTTAAAATCATTTATTTACCCTGTAAGAGATATGCATGTATATTGTACTGTTTTCATAAGAAGTATATGATTTCAATATCTTTTATCACTAGGTTTTTTTATAGCCCTTTAGTAGCCCTTTACAATAATATCATGTGCTATTTCCAAGGCTTTTAAGTCTTTGAGTGGCTGGAATGTCAAGTTTTAGTAGCATATTTTTTTATTGATAAGGTGATTACACCAACAGACTGAAAATTTGTACTGATCTATTTGTAAATATTTTAGCTGAACTAGTAAACACACAATAGATATCTTTACGGACCAGTCAGCTAAATATGTTGCGTTTTTAAAAATATCATATAACAAAAGGCTGACGAAACCGCTTTTGCACCTCCTCATAAGCTGGGACATACTTGATGACCCAGTCATAAATTAAGTTCGCCGAAACCATTATATTTATAACACCAACGATAATAACATACCCAGTGACTTAATTTCTATAACACTATGAAAATAAGTTTGCAAAAAGCACTGCCTTTTTTTATTATCGCCGTTCATGTACAAAATACATTCGCATCGACATTGGATACGCTAACCAATAGTAATTGCTTGTTATAAATAGTCCGTCTAAATATAGCAATAGAAAAACCAAAAACAGCTACCTAAAATAGATTTTACGGTAAACGTCATCAGTTACTGTAGCTTGCACGATAAACGTCATCAGTTTCTGCAGCGGGCACTTGCAAATAGCATGCGCAGTAGATTTCAATTATGTTAACTTCCGAAATAAACAATGCAAGTATTTTCTGCTCGCTGTATTAGATTTAAATGGAATTTTGTGAGCTTCGAGAAGAAAGAGATAAAATCATGTCGGGTCAGAAACAATAACATCTATTGTCTAGGATTATTTTTGTGCGTACACTTGGACGCAAGTGGATAACTTATATGCGTACATGTCAAAATTTATGCGTATAGGGACGCAGAATTCTGCGTCCCGTAAAACCCTGTACGGTGATGCAACTAGAAAACTTAGCTATATTTTACATAAAACATGAAAAACTTCATAATAATGGCATGCTTATTCTTAATACTGAACTCTCGATCTTTCCTAAGTTAAATGATTTTAAAAATTTGTTTGTACATCAGGAGATGTGAAGCTTCAAGAATTAACAGTCAAATATATGAGCATTTTCAGCATTTGTCATACCTGAATATCTGCAGGTATAGTTTGGACAGGTTGACCAAGAAGCATTGCCATTAGTAAGAAATAGACCTCTGGTACACTGTTATGTTTAGGTAACAGCCATTGTAATACAGTAAATCCAGGTACATGACAGATCTCCTGATTCACTTCTCTCGTCTCACTATGATGTCCCGAGTGTACATTGAAGCCTGAAAATATAAACATTACTTTTACTGCAATAAAATGCTGGTATTTTGTTTCTATAATAATATTACTGATGCAACTACAAGCCCAATAAAACAAATAATATTTAACAAGTCTAATTTCCGTATTTGAGTCTACAATGTCTTAGTTATTACAGTGCTATAGTCAAAGATTGTACTTAAAATTATTCTAGTAAGAGTGTTACAATCATATTTAGCATAAAATATAACCAGATAAAAACAAAACATGAACCTTATCTCACATATCAGGTGCATTAAACAATAAAGAAGATTTTACCCAACATAGTTGGTCCAGAATGTTGTTTCACAATCATTTCAGTATCCTTTAACCAACCTCCACCATACTGACCCTCTCTAAACCGTGCAACAACGGTAGCGTTTCTGAACATAACCAAGAGTATCTGGAGAGCTCTAATCACTGTTGTAGAATGGATGTGACTTTGTAGGAATAAAAGTATCCAATCAAAACCAAGGACTCTCTGTAACTCTTCACAAAAACTGTAATAAATCAAACAATCACTTATTAAAACTTCTTTATAAAATCTAGATATACTCAAAAGGTGTGTTACATTTTATAAAAAGATTATTGGTTAAAATGCCTGTTTCATTTTAAAATATTCATCAATTAGTCTTGAAAAATTGTCATTTCTATTATTTGACGATAGAGAAACATTTTGTTGAAAAGTGAGTTTTGCTAAATACTCTTTCAATATTGGTACACATCTTTCAGTTAAATAACATGTACAAGATTGAAACAACATGTCACCTGTTGTTAGGAGATGATAAACTCTGAGTGAGTAATCTGTGTACAACACCCAGCAATGTATTCCTCAACCTTACTTTCTGTATAGAGGGACCACCTGGATCATCAGCTGATTATATATAGAAATATAAATTGTTTATTTAATAATGCTTATAAAAGGTTATAGACTGACAAAAGCAAAGATATTTACTTAATCCCAACATATTTATGTTTGTTATTTCAACATTGTTACTATACTACACACTGAAACATGTGACACACTGTTACATATAGTTGAAATTTATACTTCATTCATAAAGCACGATTAGAAAGCTTAAACAACATAATGATACATATTCTTAAAGAAAGTTAACAATAGTAATACAGTTTAGTTAACACATCCTTTTAAACTGATGTATATGGAATTAAAAACAATTCAGTAGATTTATACTTACTTTCTATAATGATGTAATTCCCACTGGGGGTAGATGGGTTTTCTACGACCAATAACTTTTCTGAGTGAGATTCTGGTATAGTGAATACCAAAAACTGACCAAGTCTGAAACATAATCAATTATAGTATGAAATTTGAACCTGAAACTGATTCCTCATCATCTTTTATAAACATTAATCCACTTACTTTATTTATAGAATAAATATTGTACAAAGTATTGATAGTTTCTATGATCTTGGCATTACAACAATACATGTTTCATTTTATGCTTTTTCCCCAACAGTATTTTAGTCATATAGGCAGGTAGTTTCCTAACCATCGTTCCTGGAGAGTTACACCAGTACTAGACTACCTTCCTCCGTGCTAAACTACCAAAGCATCTCCAGGGGATCAAACCCACGCCAGAGGTAACTGGATTAGAAGTCATCTACTCTAACCCCTCAACCACGGAGGCGGTTCTATTTAATACCATTCTTCAACAGTTATTGAATAAATTTCATGACAGTTAACTGAATATCTTGATTCAAACAGTATGAAACTTATATTTCATGAAGGACTGTATGTGTAAATAGTTGTAGTAAACTAACTTGAGCAATGCCTGTGAATCTGGTGGACCTTCCAGTAACAGCCCTATCACACTGGCCATGGTGTCTAGTGTAGACTGTGAGAGACGAGGATCTCTCATCACATGTAGTAACCTAGATACTAGACCTATCTCACGCATCAATTTTAAATTGTTGGACTGGTCACTGAAATCCGATCAAACAAGAGTAAGAACACTAACAAACTATACCTTTTTTTAAACTCATCATGAAAATAAACATTTGACTTAAAGAAATAAGGTGTTAAATAATGAAATAGGTTTTAGAACATAATTATTTCCAGATAAAAGTATAACATGCTTATCACTAAAAATATTTCTTCTTAAAAGAAACTTAAGACATTGTTATTTAGCAGATAAATTATGATATATTTTCAATCATATAGTATTTTACTCACCTGGAATCTGTTAGCAATTCATAAAAATGTTCATACAGTGATCTCTGTAGATCAAATGGAGCATCATGCCACACCTGAAATAAAACATACATGTATTTTACATTATTAACAAATGAAAGTTGACACATTGGACAAATGTTGATTGCTCTATAAACAACCAGAATCAAGATAAAATATAAAATATTTTCACCTCAAGATCACAGAGTATATCCTCAAATGCCTTTTTGTTCGGTATGGTAGAGCTTTCTTTCCCACTATCTATTGTACCAACAAGAGAAAACGTCAGATGTAGAATATGACTGTTTAATAACCCTTGTTTCTTCTTGTACAACATGGCTAAAATCTGGAAAATATGTAAATAAGTAATTTAGTGCTTACATTGTTCTATCTGATTTGTCCACTTAAGTTAGTTTCAAGCATAGCTGACCAACCATTCAATTTAACATATCTTCAAATATTATGAAAATTAAGTAATTCTAAACTAAATTTGTGACCTTTAGATCACTAGACTTTCCATTATCCTAATGCCCTGTTCTCAACAATCTTTCAATTTGTTGTATAGTATATCAAAGAAAGCATTGTTTCAAAAAGATCAAACTTTTGTAAAAAGATGAGCATGAGTGACATTGCTATATAGTGAGAACAATTTTATGATTCCTAGATTTATCCAACATTGAGGAAATTTAAACTTACTAACGTGTACTGATGCGTGTTGTAGGTGCAGCACATCTCGATTACTCAATAAAATACAAACAACATGTCTTTAAATGTAAAACACTGTTAAACATATGTAAATGGTTTTACTACCATGATAACAATTACCTGATGGCCACTGATTCTATCCAGATCATGAAGAGCCTGTTTGTTACTCTTGATTACACAGACCAACGCCTTTACAGCTGCATACAAGCCTTCTACATCAGTTGTCATAGCAACCAAACCAAGTAATGTCTTAGTCCCGCCCACATTCTGAAGCATCTTAGCAACTGGCATAGGACAAAATGTACGCACTCCTGAAGAAATATCAGTTTGCTTATTCGTTTGTGTTATATTGGTGCATGCAGAAACCTGGCAAGTAACTCTGTCCTGTTGTAACATATCTGAATGTTTTATTTTGGTTGAGGCCGACAAACTGCCCGGACCTTCATCCCTCTGTATGCTATCTGAATGGCTTCCTAATAACAAAGATTAGGACAGATCAGTCAGGAACCTCAACCAATAAAAATCACCTCCACCATACACCAAATAAAACCATAGAAATGTAACACAAACACCTTCACCTTACATCAGAAATAAACAGGTATAACTTAAGCTTCTTTAGGATTAATTAGCAAATAAACAGTTATCAGCACTTGAAAATTATTAAGTTATCTCACAATAAGAGGCCACAGAGATAAAATCAAGAATACTCACCTAGATATCCCATGAGAATAGCACCAAGACATCTAGCATAGCCTCCTAGATGTCCAGCTGAGTTGTGCAGTATTCTGATTGGTGTAGCATTGTCATGTGATGACATTGCCAGCTGTAAAACAGAAATAAAAAAACTCCTATATATCTGTTAACTTAGATCAAGTATATCTAGACTCAAATAAATTAACTTACTTATTGGAAGCATGTTTGGAGAACATGTTTGAAGGATTTGATAATAAAAAGATGTTCATCAGCAAAGCAAAAATAAAACATGTTACAAAGACACAGATGAAAATAGAAACAGAAAAGCACTTGACAAGATCGCTAATACTTTTATCACAAACATAGCAAATCTAAATGCCTACATCCTTTGACTTCTATATACCAGCTAAAGATAAGCAAACTTTTGTTTTAATTTATTAAATGAAAACACAGAATGAGTTCCAAATTTCAATTATTTTAAGAAAAATATAAATATCCATTAATTTGGAACTGTTCCTGTTAACCAGACAAGAGTATAGAGGGAGCTATCACTGGCACATAAACAAGAAATAGTTACTATATTGTTTCAACCAGACTGATTTTACCTGTTTAGCTATAGACTTGCTGTCAACTTTGTTATAAATCTTCCTCATTTTAGAGATAGTCATTTGTGACATAGCATGTGCATGTACACCAAATACAAGCTTCTCCTCACTGATAAATGGACCCTGCATGTCTTTATCTTCTGAAGATATAACAATAAATATAATTACCCCTTGCTTCATCTTTATAACAATATCATTGTTTTACAGTGAAGTTCAGTAAATATCAGTATAAAGAGAGGCAACATTTGTCATTTACATAAAATAAAACACAACTTTATATTATTCTTTTGAGCAATATTTCTAAATGTTCATTTACTTTTTTCAAAATTTATTTTCAAGAAGACCTTGCAACTGCAAAACAAAAACAAAAAAATTGAATTTCATATTTAGGCAATACCTTGGTTTACAAAGATCTGGAATTATTTATGTTAATGATGGGAAAACAATGCCAAATATCAACATACACAAGCAGACTTCTATGTAAATACCTAAATATGGTGCCTGAAAACTTCCTATATAAGTTGGTCCTAGAGTGTATATATTTTTGACTGTAGCTGATGAAATGACATCTTCAAACAGATGGCATGGTCCCTGTCTCCATGTAAGCCTAGACTGTCGTCTCAACTGAGGTGGGGTACCAATATAGCCAAACACTGAAGTGAAAGCTGTTGGACTTGCTGAGCCTCCTACCCCGAGGTTTGGAGAGATATAGTGCAACTGTAATATTAAATAAGAGACTACATTAACACAGAAGTTAATTTAATGAACTAAGAAATTAAATTTGATAGAAATTATCATAATCATGAGTTTATAAAGAGAAAACAGATTATCTAAAGAACTCTGAAAACGAAAAAATTGAAATGTCTGCAGGTTTGGTGTGTAACACTTGTGTCTCTTTGTCAATTCTCTATCACAAATAAGTCAAATATGCTGGTAAGTTAATTATAATCTTTAAAATCAGCACATAAAAACATTATACCTTATGAGTATTGACATGCTCCCCATCCAAAAACAGACTGACACTTGAGTTCTTCATGATACCAGCTCTATGGAAGATGAGCACTAAATGGTGCCACTGACCCTCTAGGTCAAGGTCCTGGTGCCAAAACTTTACCAAATTATCAGTTAACTTTGGTTCTCCTAGATCATCAGATGGGGCTGCAACAAATTTTCATCATAAATTTATTCAGGTTTTACCATAACATCCTAATATATGTTTCAATAAATAAATATTGCAAATATTTTACCATAACAACAATCATAAAGATTTGCATACAATATCAAAATTCTGTAGAGTTTACTTTTGGAGACAACAAATCATATCAAACTCTGCTTGGTAGTAAATTTATATAATGCATATGATATCTCATACAAATTTATAGAACAGATAAGATAAAGTTTAAGAATGCTTACCAGAAGATGGCATGAGAGTTTCTTGTGTACAAACATACAGTGATTTATCTCTCGGTGATAAAGTTATACTGAGACATATCAAGTTTTCTTCTCGCCCCTGGAGATTACGGACGATGGTAAACAACCTAACCGGGTGTGGGTCAGTGCCCCATACACTAAACTTGTCAACACAGAACCAAGATGAAAATGTTAGTCCTGACTGTGGTGGGAACACTCTTTCTCCTAAAGAAAAGCAAGAAATTACTGAAACATCAAACAATGGAAAATGCAATCACTCAAATTGGAATAAAATCAATACTCCAAATTTAACAATCATGATAAACCTATACAACAATTTTTTTTAGTTTTTTTCAGCATATGTTTAAAATTCTGGAAACAAAGTGATCTCTCGGAAGCATTAATCACAACAAAATAACATAAGAATTGCAGACTCGGTTTGATTGAGTCTGTACATGTGGGATAATGAATAAGTGCAACATCCCTCACGCCCCCTAGCACCGGCTTGAGCGGTACTCAATTCTCAACACTTTATAGTGTTGGCATCAATGATCCCGAAGGACCAGAAAATATAACAACACTGAAGTGAAGTACGGGGCAACTTTTTACGGCTGCCACACGGCACTTGACACCTGCTGTTATGAAGTACAAAATTGTGGAATTTTGAGACAGTTTAAGACCTCTTTAACATGCAATTTTAGATGAATCACTGATTAAATCAGTCCAAAGTACAATATTCTTTATGTCTTTAAAAGCTTCTTTCTTTTTGGTTGGGTTTTATGGCACACCAACAAAGTATAGGTTGTATGGCAACTTTCCAGCTTAGTTTAGGAAGATCTCAGTTGCCCCTCTGTGCACTATTTCACCTGAGTCAAACAACCAATGTTCTGTAAGTTAGCTGCATAGCTTCCCAACTTGAAAGAACCCAAAGTCCCTGGCAGGATTGAAACCCATAAAGGTGAGGGTCAAGCAACCTTAACCAAAAGGCAAAAGACAGTCATTAATGAAAGCTGAAATTTGGAAAGAAGCATGTAACTACCTGACCCAATGCCTCCTATAACTGATGGATCTGCTGCACCTACAACCCCACTGACTACACTAGGTGTTGGTGGTCCCTGTGGGGCTATACTGGGCAAATACAAGCACCCAAACCCTTCAGCATTCATGTTAAACTCAACAAATGCTGGAGTTACACTTGATCCATGCATTCTTGCATCTTTTGGTGTTGTCATTGATACTAAACATTTTACTCTAGTTAATGGCACTGGACATCCTGTGGTTTTCAATTTTCTTTCCACTTCAAATGGTGTTCTCTTCTCCTCAACACTAGCATGTCTCGATAGCGGCCAACTTTTGTTCACTTTCTCAGAATGTTCAAGATCTTCATCTGCTGGTCGGCAGTTAAGAGGTGACCCTAATCTCAAGAAGTCTCTGTACAAGGATAAATCAAAGCAATTAGATTATTGGAAGTTATGGTGTGGGATAGATGCTAACAATTAATGATGTAATACAATTAACATGTCAACTAGTCATTTAAACAAAATATCATCAAGGATCTGTTAACCGAAACTTTCTCTTACTGGCATACAGCTATTTTCTCTGCAATGTATTTTTGTTTTGTTTTTACCCTGACTTTTTTCATATTTTTTTAACATATTTCTGTATTAGATCCACTTAACCCACTTTCTTCAATAACTAATAAGTAACCCACTTTCTTCAATAACTAATAAGAAATTACTGATTTCTCAACAAGTTTTTTTTGTTGGGTTTTACATCAAACCAACACACTATAGGTCATATGGCGACTTTTCGGTTTTACTGGTGGAGAAATACCTTCCATGCCTTATTACAGGCATGAACAGGCACCTAAGTAGAACCAACCACATTCTGTAAGCTATCTGAATAATTCTCCACAAATGAGTACTAATCCTACATGATTTTTTAATCAGTGGCAAATGACAACATATGTAGTTGCAGAAAAAATAAACATAGTATATAATTATGATGTTACCTTAAATCTCTAGGAGTGAGTGATTGAGATGCTAGACGTTCAAACATATACTGTAATGATGGATGGAGAGGATGTGATTCATCTGCCAGTGATATATTTCCATGACTTAATAACTCATGTGGAAATCCTGCATCACACATAACTTGCTGATTGTGTTCTTTTCTCAACAAATTCTTCAACAATCCTGCTATAAACACTTTCAAGTCTTTGGATAATTTATCATTGTCACTAGCTACGGCAGGAAGTAGATGAAATATTGACAGTACAGCTCCGGCGTGGATGATGAATTCTGGGTGTGCAGCATTTACAGGTAGAGATAAACTGCCTGTACTTGCTCTCTTTAGTTTTGGTGAGGATTGTGGTGAAGCAGATGGACTTTCTTGGAACACAGTGTGGCGCTTGGTTAAAGGGGAATCACTCTTCTTGGCACTAGCCACCAGATATGGTCTTAAACAATAAATACAGCAAATTTATAATTGTTAATCCAAAAACAAATGTATTTAGAATATCTTTTTACATGTCATCATTAGCAAAATTTTAAGGTTAGCTAGTCTACATACCCTAATGAAATTGTTTGATTAAAGAAATTATGTTTAGCTTGCTTGACTGTTCTCAATGCTTGATAGTAAAACAAGAGCCTGGATCATGTAAAAATTTTCAAGTCCAAAAATTGCCATAATTCTGTCATTGTCATAGTTATGGGCCTTAAACAAAGACCTCCTTTTATGCTCTGAAATAAGTTTGTGAAGTTTCAATCCATTCTCTTCAGTAGTTTTTGAGATACCAACTTGCAAGGAAAAACTTAAGTGACATGACATTGATGCCTAGGTGATTATTCTTCGAAAGGTCAAGCTTAAAATTATTAAAAAAACATTATCAATCACTTTACTTATGATAATACAACTGAATTAAACACTGATCTAGAAAGTTAAAATATATCACCTTTCAAATGCATCGAGTGCCATATCATACAGATATCTGACCATCTGACATGCTGATGCTAACAACACTGGTATATCTTCTCTCATTCTGATTATGAAATAAAAAATATCAGTTTTTATATATCGAAACAATAAACCATTCCTTACATTAAATGATAAGGTAAAAATGTTGATGAGCTGACAAGTATTCAGAGACTAAAGTAACTTAAAAGTCTGAAAATACGCATTTGAACATGTGGCTCATAGAAGTATTATCACCAAAATTTTGACCAACAAACAAGCTCTATATGATTTCAGCAAAATATATTCTTCACAAAAATATCTTGTAATTGATTGTATGATTCATAACAGCTGGGCAATTTTACCTTGGTTCCTTGTTTTGATGAAACAATTCTTCAAATGCCTGGTAACCTTCAGTGAGAGAGGAGCAGTCAGTATCATCATCTAGTGCTGTTATATCTGGGGTAGATGAGAAACAACCCAACAATCTTACAGCTTCTGTCAAACTATCATATCTAACCTGTAATATGTCATCAATCAATATACAACTGTTTAACATTTTTGTCTGTAATCTTGCATATATATTTATAATTTTTATTTAATAAGTGAACTTTGTTCACCATATATGGATAAAGATATATTCGTTCTAATTTGATATTTGAAAATACTGATAATTGCTATACATGTAAAAAAAACGTTTTGGGTTCCCAATGAGAAGATATGTTATTTCTTAAACTCAACAAACTATAGGTTAAACAATATGAATACAGAGTGTCAGTAACAAATTGGCAGTTTTTTAAAGTCAAGTCAAGTCAAATAATTTATTGGCAAAAACATATACATGTTCATCGCCAAGTAACATTTTGGCAGTACAAAGTACAGAAAAGTAAGATACATACATGATAAATTATACATATACATAATTATTTATCAGCGTACATTATTCACGAATTCGAAAACCTAGCTAAACGCCGTTTTCCGGTACTTTCTGTACATAGCTCTGGGGAATTCACCCAATGGAGTGTAATAGCGAACTCGATGTTTTCGGCCTTTTTTAAAATCAAATTGAAATAAAGTAATTATTTCTTTATAAGAAAATAATTAGATATCATTGTATGAATAATTCCATACAAAAAATAAAGTAAATACACAAGTTAACGCAGAAAATAACCTTATTTATTATGGAAGATTCCACTACGTCTGTTTGAATTTTATTGATTTTCATTATAAACAATTTATTTTTTTGAATAATTTGGAATAGATATTAAAGGAATATTGATAATTTTCAAAAACATCAATTTTTTCACCTTAAACGGTTAAATACTGATAGAAAAATCGAAATATCACGTAACTGTGTTATGTACTTCATTTGATGTAATTCCCCAGAGCTAAAACGGTAACGTACCGGAAAACGGTGTTTAGCTAGGTTTTCGAAAAGATCAATTTCAAACAAATGTATTAAGTAGATTCATTTCTCAGTTGCATTGCTGAATAAATAAATTTTGCTAAGTTAACAATTACATTTTTGTTCGTACATTTCATTATTGATATGAATTTATTTAAATTAGGCTATGAGCAATAATATCTAGGTAAACATGTTTTCCTTAAGTTGTTATAATATGGATATACTAACAAGAAGTGATATTCAGTTTCAATTTGTTTCATATTGCATTTTGTACAGAGGCGTTGGTTTCTTTCAATATTTCTATGTCTACCCTCTTCAATAGCTAATTTGTGCGAAGAGCACAAAGAAAGGACTTTAAAGAAAGGACCAAATTAACTTGACAAGTATCTAAGATTATGCAGCTTCCAAAACATAGTCTATGCACTCTCATATAGTATAATTTAATAGAAGTTACTCCATAACTGCACTAAAGTGACAACATATGTAGTAAGAACTTCAATAAATTTCTGCAATAAGAGTATTTTCACAAAAAATAATCATAGTATATCTATAATTGAGAATTTTTGGTAATGATTGATAAATAGCTTAAATGTAATTACCATAGAAATCAGCTACCTTAAATTATATCATGTTAAATATAAACTGTCCAGTAACTGTTTATTTAATCTATATCTTATCAACTTAAATAAAGCAGGTACACAATCATATCCCCATCAATATACTTTAGAGAAACATACAAACTAATTTAATACTTACATCTGTGGCAAAGAATTTGGCATTAGCAGGCTCATATCTCATTGCAACAGTGAGAGAGCTGAACACAGTCTTTAACATCGTCAATACCTCATAACGGCTCACTGAAAACATCACATAAATAATGTTTAATCTTTAATATACTTGATATGTATCAACATTGAAAATGTCATGGCAATATAAAACATTATTCTGGACAACAGATACAGTAATATTCATACAGAAATTCAGTTAGAATAATGATTTATACCTTTGTCCCATGGTTGTTTGGGTGGATGAGCTAGACAACCTTCCATTATAACAAGTACAGACATAACATAGACAAATCCTCCAACCTTCCTGAATACTGTACGTGTTCTATGACTCTCTCGTAATACATTCAATAATGACTGAAATACAAACACAACAGTCCTGTTAATGTAACTATTGTAATAACAAAATAAAACACATATACATGTTTATATATTTACTTTTCTATAAACAATATCCTAACCTTAATTGGTCTTTTTTAACATGACTGAACATTCTACAAAATGATAACCTTAAATTCAAACACAATGCTGTACTGTGAAGTCTATAAACAAGAAATACTTGTTTTTGTTTGTTTGTTTTGTTCAAGTATAATTTCACTTTGTTAGATTTTTCTATCTCACTGAATACCTGTATTTGTAATGGATTTGTCTTCCCTTGATTTCAATACATATTAAAGCCTTGATTTCAATACATATTAAAGTACTACCAATACGAAAAATTCAAAAAAAGAAAAGAACACACAATAACTGACTGATTTCACAACTCACTTTTAATATTGCAGTTTTGAGTTCAAGGTTTGTAACCTCTGCTGTGTTCATAAGACCAAGTAGTGTGCCCATGTCATCATCTCCCCCTGGTGACAGAACAAGCTGTTGTACTATACTTAATGCTTGTTGTCGACATTCAACAAATGGTACCATGTTGTGAGCACATCTTGCACCTCCACATTCTCTAAACACATCTGTAAATAACATACACATTTCACTATTTTATTAACATTGAAGGAAATGTATTCTGCAATTTCTAAAATGTAAACATTAAAGTAATGCTTCAATGTTTTGAGAAAACAAATATCATTCAGCTTATCTTTCCAACTTAGCTGAAGGAATTTCTGAATTTCAAAAACCTCAAAAGTTTCAAATCCACGGGAAGCCTTTAATGGATAACATCAGCAACCGCTACTTTATCATGTATATGTCCTCAGGTTAAGAAATTGTAATACTTTGACATGCTTGACATATAAGAACAAATACTTACTTGTGTTTTGATTACTGTTGCTAAGCAACGTAGCTAAAACTTCCATCACTAAAAATCCCAGTTCTCTTTGTTCTGCTGTCATTCTGGTAGTATCTGAAATATTCACTGTAATGATATTATGCCATAACATGCCAATTAACTCAATCATCACATGCTAATTAACTTAACATTATGTGCTTATATCAAATGATAACAACTTAAAGAGTTTTTCACATTACAAATATGCTACAAAGGGGACAGAGAGATTGAGTAGATTGTGCTATGTTTTAAACTTTCTGTGATGTATCTTAACACAATTTTTTAGCAGAATATATAATTACTGAACACTAAAGAGATGATTATGACAAACAATTTAGCTTTTCTAAAATTTACAAATTTAAATAAGTCAATGTAATTTGTACTTTTACTTCAGTGCATTTATTAGCATTTTTTTTCAGTATTTCATGCTTTATGCCACAATAAAACTTTGTTTTGTAACCTACTAAAGCTTGTTTGCACAAGTAAGTTTCAGGAAATTAAGACCAATAATTTCTTATAATAATTCCAATATCATACATGTATTAAACCTGAAATATCTTTGTTAGATTTGATGAAAGAATTTTCATTGAAAATGAAGTTTAATATTCACAAAAAATTATCATGTATATATGTAAAGATGTTGTAATATTTTGTTAAAAAATAAAATTGTCATAATGATAACATTTTACTACCTCCATCTGCATGAGGGTCCTTCAATAAAGCAGCAAATCTGTGTAGACATGTAATGAGCACCTCTAACATACCAACCTCCCTGTATACATCTTTAAACACAGCATGGTATTGTAGAATCTTCTGTAAACTCTTTATACATAGAATGCTATTTGGCACTGAGCTGAAATTAGTACATGTACAGTCAAATATCATGTAACAATGTTTTACCGTTTGTTTTGTAGAGTTTGAAGTCAAACCACACTGTAAAAGTTATACTTCAACATTCAAGCTTTACTGGTCAAGGAAGACTTGAGGTGCAACTATGCATTATTTCAGGCTCAAGTAGACGTCTGAGTAAGACCACTGACCTTCCATTGGGTAGCTAGATAAGATTCCTCACATGAAAGAATCCATGGTCCCTAATGTGATGTTCAAAGTGAAGATTACATTCATCAACGTACAGTATGGATCTCTACTAAACATGCATGTAAACATCCATCAATATGTGAAGGCATAGATATACAACAATTTGCTTTTTCAACAATAAAAACATGATGTGGTTTACTTACTGTTGTGTTTTCAGGATCAGACTTAAGCTTATCAGTTCTTTACATGGCACAAAGTTTATATTGAAGACTATGAATTCTAACAACTCAAAGAATTTCTCCTGAAATATAAGAAAAGAGTATATTTTCACCATTTGCTGTTCTGTTTTACAGACTTAGTATCATCTAAAGGCATCATAGACAACAAAAGAAAAATTTCATGTTTTATACAAAAGAAAAATTTCATGTTTTATACTGAGCATTACCAAGTATGTGTTTTATACAATATCTAATCATTAAAAATCAAATAATTAATGCTTTTAAAAATTCCATTGACCTTACATCTGTGTGTGAAACTTTATACCTATAAGCAAACTGGATGGATCACTTACATAAAATAATAAAAAGATATATAATAAAAAGCGTAATCCTTGAAAGTTTGAGGTATTCCAACTAAGTTTTCTTAACAGTTTGGTTCACCTTAGCTACTTTATTTTCATGATTCTTCATCATAACACAGCAATAAGCCTTCATATTTCTCACTTTAAATGGGCCTTACAGAAAACACAAAATTCATTGTTTGTCAATATCAGTAATAACATAGGCAGAGAGAAAACAACACCTAATATATATTTTACCTGTACATCAAGAGATTTCAGGTGAATTTTCTCAGCAAACTGTGAGAGAGTATGCTGTGGTTCTAATATAAAATAGTTGGCATTATCTTGATGGTATATACTGCTCATTACATCTAATATTGTATTACATAGAGCACTTGACTGAGCCTGTAATATACAATAATACAAACAATACTGATTAGATTTAAGGAAGTCTACAATAAAGATTAAATAAGTACCTCCTGGATAGGATAGATACTGCCTAAATAAAGCCACATCAAAGATGTATTATATAACAAATATGAAAAGAACCGACTTTCACCTTTGATATATAATTAACTTGCTATGCATATGATAATAATATGTAGTAGATACATGAACACTATGCAACATACTGGCATGTTAGTAGTTCCAATGAATGCCTTGGGATAACAGTACCAGGAAATAGTATCAGCGTTTAGTCCACACTGTATTTCCTGAATCCTATATCTACTTACCTCTGGAAAAATGGTCTCTTCTATGATTTATAAATGAAACACAGGACTGATATAACTACACTTTATAATTGTTATGATTATATTTTATGTACAGGAACTACTTCTCTTCACACATAATACTGGTAATTTATGTACTCATATCTAACGTTATTCTGATATTCATACTCATATTAAACTCAATATGCTTGACACTCACCTTCAAGAACACATTCTGAAGTACTTGAAATGCCTGGATATTTCTTACACTGACACCTGAAATAATTGAAGTTTATATGATGTTATGATAAAATCTAATAGTTTGAAGACTCTAAAATAAATTTAAATTAATGTCGGTAACTAAAATATGTACCAATATCAAAAGAACTACCTAACAATTTACATAATACTGTATATAGGGAAACCATAGATTTTTTTAAAAACCAGCAGTTAACATATCTTAAGTTTAAGTATGAACACTGTTACATAAAGTATCAAATAAATCTATCTCTTTCAGCATTAATTTCATATAATCATACAAAAATTCTCATAATTAATAATAATGAGTTTTTTTTTTCTTTTTTTAGCATTAATTTCAGTCTCATCAGGCTAATACATAAAACTTTTAGCTACAAAGTGTCAGTATATTGATGCTTAAATCACTTAAACTCATTAGAGACTGTTTTATACTCAATACAGGACAAGACCATTAATAAAGTTCAGCAGGGTAAATATTAACACAGTGATGACTAAATGATAAAAGAAATTCTCACAAATTGATAGTTACCACTGTTATACAAGCAAAGCTGTGCTGTGATTAATATTATTACTAAACTTCAAACAAGAAATAAAAATTATAGAAAAAAAGCATTTTAAGTTCTGAATGTTTCACCTAAGAATTTTGTCATAAAAAGAAACTTTATTCAAAGAATCGTTGGCCGGACAGTATACTGGATCATTCTCAGTGCTTAAAAGTAAAACAAGAGCCTGAATAATGAAAAATTTTCCAAGTTAAAAAAGGACCATAATTCTTTCAAAATCTATGTTAGAGTTATTGGTCCTGAAAAGTTTGCTCTCTGTGTAAAGTTTCAACCCATTCTCCTCAGCATTTGTGGAAATTTCAACTTGCACATAAAAACTTGACCAAAGTGTGATAAGTACAAAAGCGCTCCCCATTTTTGGAATAATCAAGCTAAAAATCTGTAAAATTAAGTCCAATAATACAAACCATCACCAAGGTAACCAAACCAGAATGTACCTCATTGTATACCTTACCTATCAGTCTATCACTAGTGATATTTTCATTTTAGACAGGAATGTAGCCATCATGCTTTTATACATATCATAAATGTATATTCCCATCTTACAAGTTATATTATATAAAACTCCCTCTGCAAGCAAACCTCTTGTATAACTGTCTCCCTAACAGAAACATATATATATACATAGTAGACATGACAAAACATTGATAGAACCACCTATATCCATACAATAACTTAGCCCAACAATTGTACAAGCATGCAAGTTTCTAGCTCTCTAAAATAAATATCCCTTCATCAATAAAATATAAGGACAGGATACAAGCAGACATAAATCAAAATGCAAGAATAAATAAATGCAAAAAAAACAACATTATTACCAATGGAAATGATTTACATAATTATGTATCAAAGTTTCATTTCATCCAAATACTAGTTATTTGTCAAGCACAATAAAACATTAATTTTGTTGACTAAGTGTATTTAAGAAGCTATAGAGCACAAACAGAATCTAAATAACTATAGAAATATTTAAGAATGGAGTTATTTTTATTGCTTTATATATTTGACAGAAATGATATTAAATAGCAGTTTTTTTTTGTTGGCTAGACAGTTACAAATTACATGTGGTGTATAACTTACAGAAGATGTGAGAAGCAAGTTAGAAGACTATAATAATATCAACAAATACTAGCCAGTGTTAGCCCACACCCGCATAGATAGAAATAATAAATAAATAAATCACTCAACTGGAACTGGGACTAGCATTCACATGTATTATCTCTGTAAAAATAGAATTTATACCTTTACTCAGAGGTATTCCATGCATTGTAGAAAAATCTTTCTTACTGAAGTTTACCCATAAGCAATGTCCATTAATTTTTTCCACTATTTTTTTTTTTTTTTGTATTAATAGCAAATGCATAGTTTTACTGCACATGAAAAATCTAACACATATGCAAAAAAAATAAAAACAGCGTGTTTCTGAGGGGAGAAAAGGGGAGATGCGAATGTTATATAAAAATATTTCTTAAGTAATTACTCATTTGAGAAACAAAGCCAAAATGTAATGGTTCATATTCTCTAAACTCAAACTTGTAAATACTCATGTTTATTTTAATCATAAATCAATCTTGTGTGTGTTTGTAAAGGGCAACATAAAGATTATTCCTTTAAAGTTTCATCAAAATCTGTGCAAATGGTTCAGGAGTTGTCATTTACAGATCATTTCTTCCCCTTTTAAAGCTCTGGTGGCTGTCTTGTTCAGATTTTATACAGTAACAAGGATAATTTCCTTTGAGTTTTAAGCGTTGTCAGTTTGAGTTCCTTTCTAATTCAAGCTCTGGCAGCTTTGTTCAACAGAACACAGTGAGTTTTACCAATTTTGCAGAGGACCAATTAAGGACCTTCTACTGAGTTTCATCCAAATCTACTCAACTGTTTTAAGGAGATATCAGTTAAAGCTCATTTACATTTTAACTCTGGAGGTTATCTTGCTGAGTGGTCTAGGCAATTTTCATTGTTCAAGGACCATAAAATAAATTCTAATGAAGTTTTATCAAAATTCTATGTGTCTTTGTCTCTGACTGTCGTCTGATTCAGTGAACCAGGAAATTGTATATCTACATTGTATTTTTATAAATGAGTATCATGTTGTTTCAATACGTTTGGCTAATTGGTTTAGAAGGAGATGTAACGACAACAGAATCTGCTGACAATGCAAAAATTACACACAACAGACTACATGTAAAATTGACTAAGATAACTCAGCTTAAAATGATATGCTCAGGCAGGCTAAAAATTAGGTCCACTTCATTAGAAAGGCTAATTACATGTAGAGCTCAATATTCAAATTTTATTTCATGCTTTCCAGTGTTTTATTGTAATATATCAGATGATTATATTCTGATAAACCACTATTATAGCATAAAATCGGCTATTTTTCCCTCTTTTGCCCATGTTATAACGGGACCAAAACCATGTGTTAACATAGTCACGCGCTCTTGTTATAGCCCGGTTTCACCTATGCGCAATACATACAGGGCCCAGTAAACAAACAGACAAAAAATGACGATTTGGCCTGTTTGCCGAAGAGTCATGCGTTCTTGTTATATTGAAATTTATTGATTCGAGGGCCTCAGTCGCATATTCCAGTAACTATGCCGGAAAAACGGCGTATAGACATCGGTGCTAATCTTGGTTGTCGCCCTTTCTAAGAAACGAACAGTTGTCAATGTAAACAAATACAGTAGAATCTACCTAACACCCCGATTAACTTACAAAACTAGATAACAGAAAAATTAATATGAGAACATGTTTTTTAATTATGTAAATGTTGATAAATGCTCTTTATATTTCTTTGAGAGAATAATGCTTAGTGCCTGATTTTTTTATAAACTTGTTTGCTTGAAAAAAACAAACCGATTCTGATGTCACTGATCTTTTTTCTATCGTCAATCTGAAATCACTCTAAGAATTTCTGAGGGTCATGTTTTGTCTTGGGGTAGAGGGTAGAGTAATGTAACGTTTTTTTTTCTTGAGATAATTAATCTCCAAAGGCCAAGCTTTGTTAAATCAATTAAAATTCAAAATTTTGTTCGGTTCCGAGAATTTTCCAAGTTGTTGGCCCCGGAAAAATGAAACGCATACGTAAAACATAGAATAGGATAAATACCGTCCAAGCACAAGAATTTAATGTAATTGTGTTTTGTATAAACTATACATCACAAATCTGTTTGAAAATTTTATGCTATAATAGCGACAACGCACGTTTATTTCGTGTTATAAAGTCTGCAGAGTCCCTCGGAACTGTTGGAGCCCTCGCCCTACCGGGCTCGGGCACCAACTGTTCCTCGGATCTCTGCAGACGTTATAACACGGAAAAACGTGCGTTAACCCTATAGTGAAATTTATAAAATATAATTTTCACTGTAGCCGGACTATATCTGAATGCGGATGAAAAGAAAATCATAACTAAATGAAATAACAGGCAGAAATAATTGCCGATATGCGTAAATTTTGCTTCTGTAGGAAAAGAAAGTCGATGTCATCATACATCATGTTAAAAATATAACAAAATTAGAGAAATTTAACAGACCTATATTTTAAAATTCATGCTGTGACGTCATGATTTGATGACGTCACAACGGAGAATGCGCGACGTTACGCGGCAAAATCAGTAAAAATTACTTAAAATCACTTAAAAAGCATGAAATAAAAAGAAAATTTATTTGTTTTACATATAAGATTGAAATATATTTCATTCGTGAACACCAGCTATTATATTTTCACTCGTGGCTACGCCACTCATGAAAATATTGCATCTGGTGTTCACTCAGTGAAATTATATTTCAATCTTACATGCAAAACAAACAAATATCCTCTATTTATTACATCATTTTAAAAATAAACACACATGTTGTTATCACAGATTTCAAATTATTGTAACTAGTAATTTTGAATTAAGTATGTTATGTCTTTGAATTATTTCTCTTTTTCCATGTGCAGTTATCATTTTTAACAAATTAAATAAAATCTTAAAAAATACATCATAAACAATGTATGTATTTTCAAATGCATACTGAAGTAACATAATAGTAAAACATCACAAAATTTACAAATTGCATGCTAGAAATATGACAAATAGCTCATTCTCAAAGCAATTTCGCAAAGATTGTATCTCATTATTTTAACATTGTATTTGAAAGGGTTTTTTTCTTCCCTGTATCGTTATTGTCTTGATAGGTCACTACATCCTACACAACATAGATTCTACACAAAAACTATTCTTTAAAACAAAAAAATTTTTAGTATATAAGAGGGAACAATTTCCCAAATATAGCCTGCAAAATCAAAAATAAAGTACCCCTAATACCCAGCTTAATGAATTAAAAAAAAATCAATAAAAAGCAAGACCAGTAATGTAATTAAATGTACAATACCTCTAAATACTATTCACAATTGAAAAAAAGAGTGCAAATTTTATATATACACTATAGCTACAATCTTATATGTTTTAATAAAATGTGTAAGACTATTCTTTATAAAACAGTTCCTTTCAAGTGTGGTGTAGAAACCATGTAAGTACATGTATCCAACAAAACACCAAAGGAAAACAGTAGAAATTTAATAAGTTAAACACATAAGGCAATAAGTTTTGATTTTCATGGCTCCATCAATAATGAAATGTAAAGAAATGTTCTAGTGTCTCTAACAAGAAGCCTAGTAACTGTTTTACAAAAGTACATCTACATGTTTTTATACCATCATCATTTTAGTATTAAATGTAAACAATCAAAAAAATAAATTTGACCTTTGAAAATATTACTCATTAGGATTATATTTGTAAAAACTGTACTGAATTAACCATTAAGTAAGATATTTATCTTGACAGATATTACAACATGAGACATGCATACAATATATATAATATACAATATATATAACGTTGGTCATTACAACAAATATCACATTAGATAATTACCTTTACCAGCTGGTTGTGGCAGAGAGAAACCTGGTATCTGGTATATAGAACCGGAGCTTGCAGTGCTGGGTTTGATCTCTGTGTAGCCACAGGTGGTGAGAGACCCAACCAACAGTAATAGATTGCGCAAGGCCTGGACAGCCTCCTCACTGGTATCTAACTCTAATCTTCAATACCAATGATTTAAATATAAAGATAAACATCAGGAAACATACATGTATTTGATTTCCCTTTTTTTATTTCTCTTTGTTTTAAAAACTTATTTATAATACTTAATCAACAATTGGCTATCTGACTGATATGATAACTTGTAACAAATCTTAAAGTGAAACAAATTAAGAAGATTTCAATAAGTAAAATGTAATACATCAATAAATAGTACTTTATTTTAATAAAAACACACTATCACCTTAAGATAAACTCAGAGAGGTAAGTGTAACCCTGGCAGGATTTAAAGTCATCTAGAAGTGTATGTGACACCTCACTAGAATCCTTCAGGAAACAGAACACTGTTACAAACATTTCTACTAGATCTAGTGGTGATAAATCCTGAGCTCTCTGCATGTTCTCCACACAATGTCTCACACAACCTTTATCTGTGTCATACAAATAATATGAATATTTTAAAAATGTACATGTTTAAAACAATGGCACTGAAATAGACATCTGCTTCTAAAGTGCTTTGTTAATGAAACCTAATAACATCAATGAAAAAAGACTTTGTATCAGACTGAATAAAACCAATAGAGCCACATTTATCAAGAAAACTAGGTCTAGTATTGATTGATCCAATTCACTTTAATTCAGATGTATGTAAGGCTTGTAAAGATGCAGAACCAAAAATCTATACATACAGAGTAAATACAGATGCACATAATGACATTATTATTCTACTGTTTTTTCTTCTTCATTTAGGCCCATCTGGTTAGTTCAGTAGAATAAAGCTTTATAATTCAGTAAGGAGAAGATATAAACATTCAACAATTCAACAAAGTGCCCACATATATATTACACAAACCAATTAATTATCATAACTATGGCCTGGAAATAAAAACCTTTATAGAACAAGAGGGCCATGATGGCCCTGAGGTCGCTCACCTGTATATAGGCCCTTGGAGCCGGGCCAGTTTAAACCCCAGGGCTTTTATTTGAACAAACTTGGAAGACACCCATAAGAAGATGTTTCATGATGTTAAGTTTTTACTACACACATATAATGAAATCATGCTAAACATCTAAGCTGTAGTTCATTGGGTTTTTTAAAAGAAACTCATTGGGTTTTTTAAAAGAATATTTATTAAGTTTATACTGTACACATATAGTTAAAAACAATGACACCCCTGGGGCGGGGCCAGTTTTGACCCCAGGGCTTTCATTTGAACAAACTTTGTAGACACTTACTAGAACATGTTTCATGCTTAATATCTTAACTCTAGCTATTTGGGTTTTTTCAAAGAAGATTTTTAAGTTTTTGCTATACACATATAAGGAAAATCAATGACTCCCGGGGCAGGGCCAATTTTGATCCCAGGGCTTTTATCTGAACAAACTTTGTAGACACTCACTAGAAGATGTTTCATGCTTAATATCTAAACTCTAGCTATTAAGGTTTTTTCAAAGAAGATTTTTTAAGTTTTTGCTATACACATATAAGGAAAATCAATGACCCCCGGGGCGGGGCCAATTTTGACCCCAGGGCTTTTATTTGAACAAACTTGGTAGACACTCATTAGAACAAGTTTCATGCTAAATATCTTAGCTCTAGCCCAATGAGTTCTTTAAAAGAAGATTTTTTCAGTTTTTACTATAAGCATATAGGGAAAATCAATGACCCCCTAGGGCGGGGCCAATTTTGACCCCAGGGCTTTTATTTGAACAAACTTAGTAGACACTCATTAGAAGATGTTTCATGCTAAATATCTTAGCTCTAGCTCTTTTGGTTCTTTAAAAGAAGATTTTTTAAAGTTTTTACTTTATGCATATAGGGAAAATCAATGACCACCTGGGGAGGGGCAAATTTTGACCCCAGGGCTTTTATTTGAACAAACTTTGTAGACACTCACTAGAAGATGTTTCATGCCAAATATCTAAGCTCTAGCTCTTTGGGTTTTTTAAAAGAAGATATTTAAAGTTTTTTCTTTCGGTTGCCATCCTGCATGGAATTAAATTCTTTGAACAATTTTTAAAGGTGACCACCAAAGGAACATTCCTGTGAAGTTTGGATGAAATTGGCTTAGTGGTTTATGAGGAGATGTCATTTAAAGTAAAAGTTTACGGACGGACGCCGGACGCCGGACGAAAAGCGATCACAAAAGCTCACCCTGTCACTTTGTGACAGGTGAGCTAAAAACATAAAAGCAACAGAATGAATGCTAAACTTCACAGGCACTTATTTCTTTCCTAGCTACATTTGTTAGAACAGATTGACAGTCTAAATGAGCAATGTGTCATCTCCATGCCTCATTACAAGATCATTATTATAAAGAACATCTTATTGAATATTCATAATGTTAATTTTTTAAAATTCTTTTTAAACACAACATTTACCATGTAACTTCTATATATAAAATGGCTTAATATTATTACCATGTATATATTTAGTGACTCCATTAGTGAGACCATGTCTGGATAAGGTAACCAGCACCTCACCAGCACTTTTCCTCCAGACAACATTATGAGGGGGACACCAGCTGGTTATTGCACTAAATAATAAACTAAGATCATCCTTTCTGGCCAACTCCTCTGCTGGTGATGTGTGGTTACATAGTCGTACTAACACCTGTAAATGACAAGTTAATTTGTCAGTCCTAGTTCAAACATGTCAATTACACTACTGTGTCTAGTACACTTTCAAAAATTATGTAATATACCGATAGTAATAAATATTTTAAGATACAGATCATTATTTTTCATTAGGCTTTCCTTTTCCATAATAATTATAAATGGTAATTCCAGACGTAAATTTTAGGACAATTTTTATTGTTTAACTTATTAACTTATTGTTTTGCACGATCATAATTTTTAGTTAAATCATTACAATCATTGAAGTAGTTTTGTCTGAAATAACAAATCTTTGGTATATGAGTAAGAATATTTCTATGAGGAAGGGAACAAACCTGTACAAACATCTTCTGTAAAAGGACCCGTCTTTCTCTTGGTGTAAATTCACAGCCCTGTTCTAATTCATCTAGCTCCTTTAACTCAGGTAAATCAAAGAATAAGTAAAGACATTTAACGAGTGTTGAGGGAAGGGAAGCTGCTGTCATACAGTCAATCAGTGCCTGGTTACCCATAGACAGTAAGTTAATGGTAGTTAGTAACATCCAGCCAGCACTTGATTCCTCCGTTGATTCTATCTCAAGGAACTTTACAATAGCACAGCTTGCTTCCTCTGTAATGCATATATTGTATAAGTTACATATATAGTTACAATAACAGATCAATAACTTATCCCACTGATACCAGAAGATTTGCCATCTCAAAATAAGGTATGAGTTTATAATGAAAACTTTTCATATTTTATCTTGCATCTTGACTTAAAGTTCAGTAACTAAATATCTAAATACTGTATCACCAATCAGTACCTGTGGATTGGTTTGAAGCTCTCCTCCTAACCTCTGTTACCATCAACTTTGATACATGAGAGCAAAATTGTAGAATATCTCCAAACTTCTCTGTCATTGAGCTTGCAGCAACATTTCCAAATATCTATAATCAATAATAACATCGCCATTAACATTCTAAATCTTTACATGATACAAGATAATATTTCAATATATGAAGAACTTAACATGCAACAAAAAAGATTGAATCCTTAATAAAATCAAATCAAGAAGAAATATAGTACATAATTATATAAGATATCATATATTTAGTATGTGGTTGTAGTTAATTTCATCTATGAGTTCAAAGATCTAAATCCACTTGATAATTGTCAACAATTGTAAGTGATTTAAGGGCCAATGTGAGGCAAAAATTGGCCACATTCACCTCTATATACTTCCCCTTTTTCTTAAAAAAGAATCCTTATCTCCTATTAAAGAAATCTTGTTCTTTCTCTTTTTTCCCCATAGATCCATTATATTTAAAGAGGATCATTTTTTTGAAGTTAAGGTAATAGTTTTGTATGATAATTAAACATTAAATGGACTCTTTTCTGTTACTAAACTTTCCCAGCTATTTTCCATCCATGATGCAATTTTCCCAGCTCCACGGGCCCTGCCACCTAGAACTCTCCTATCAGTGTCAGTAAAAATCCACTGATTTTTTTAATGCAAATAAGTCCATAAAATATAACAACAATGAATTCAGATTTTAAAATGACTTACTTTACAGAATATTGGTAGCATTTTGTAAAGTTTATTTTCCTGGTCTCTTTGTAGATAAGACTCTCGCTAGGATGCCGGAACCCGCAAACCAAATTTTCGTAAATGCATCTCCCAAAGATTTCCTGGGGTTTGGTTTAGTTTTCAGCCTGGTGAGCCCCCCGACTCCAAACCGGCCCCAAAAAAATTTAAAATCTTGTTTTTAGTTTTTCCCGAAATTACCAAATCAAAAAAGTCAGCACTATTTCAAGATTTATCCCAAACACAAAAAACTGGGAAAAAATTTCAGTATTTTATTAAAAATTTTTTTCCCTGCAAATCTTGATACAGAGCAGAAAAAAAACTGGTGTTTTGTCTAATGTTTACTATCTGTAGGAATAAACACGTTTCATAAAAAAATAAATTTTTTTGGGCTAGATTAATTATCCCTTAACTGGAAAATATTAAACTTATAATCAGGTAAAAAACATTACAGCAAATGGACTTTCTTAAAAGTGTAACTATACTGGTTAGGAAATTTAATAAACAATATGTCCACACTTAAGCTATTAAAGCTCTTGAAGAAAAAATGATGGGAAATCTATGATTTTTTACTTAAAGAAACAAAAATTTCGTCATGTCTTTAAATCAGATTGTTGTAATATACAAAAATTTTTTAGTTTAAATTTAGAAAGGTTTAAATTGAAAAACATAGTTAGCCTTTGGAGTTTCTTGAAAAGATGTATGAAAAATTTAAAAAAATAAATTGTTTTTTTTGTGGCGACTGGGAGTGGTTAAGCGTCAGAAGTAATCTTTTGATCGTGGCGATGGGTTTTAAACCCCCTCAGGGGCAATGTTGTTTCCTTTAGCAAGAAACTTTACACTCATTGCTCAGTACAGGTTGGTTCCAGGAACGGATTCGAAAGTGTGTCTAAAAGCTTATAGCTTCCTATACAATCAAACTAAAATAAATTCTGTATAAACCAAAACATTCGGGAGTTTTGAGCACAACCTGCATTATATTGATGCTGATGATGATTGCCATAGCTGTTACCACACAGGTTTACTTTGCTATTGCAAATATTTGCAAGTGTAAGAAATTTCACTTGTTGTAACATATTACCTTAGTACTGATTTATATATTTTCCTTTGATTTTTATTGTGCATCATGAATAAAAATATAAATATTCATATTTCCTAAATTGCATTGATTTTAAAAAGAACAGGACAGAATTTACAGAATGATTACTTGCAAAAGATTTTAATCCATGGAAAAAAATATAAATGTTCATGCATTAGGAATTCTTTAACTCATTGTTCAGTTTTAAAATGAAATATTGACATAACATTATAGTTACAGGTGAAAATTAGCAGCCTGACTGGAGATGAAAGATACCAAGATATCTAGTTGCAGATAGAATTTCTAACCAATTAGATTTGTTGACAATGACACATAAAAACATATATACCAATCAGAATTAAAGCAATAAATATCAGACTTGTCTGTAAAATGGTAGAACATTTGTAACTGTATCTTGATAAGGAAAAAAATTATCTAAATCGAAAGAAAAATGGTAAATTTCCAATAAAGTATTGGTGGGGAATGCAGAGAATTAATACTGAAGCTACAAAAAATGGCAGCTGAATATTTAAATCATCTTACATTATTCAAGTGCATTTTATTACAAAGTCATGTTTGGTAAAGTTTTCTCAATATATAAACATAAGGATTTACAGAAACCAATATTTTTGCACAATAAAGTAGAGATATTTAGTTATAGCTACATACACCTAACTTAATCAGTTTATAAATTATAATCTTACTCAACAGACATGTAAGTTTTATGAGTAATTACTCTGTAACAATCAAGATTATTTAATGTGATACATGAACTGAAAAAAATTCAAATAAAACAAAAAACTCACTTACTGTTACTTACGAAGATTAAAAACACAACAGGGCTTTTCTCCCCAAAATTGGGAAGAGGCTTAGCATTTTATTTTTGGAAAATTCAAGCTCAATAAAGAAGTCATTGACAAAATTTTTTCATATGATAAATTCATCCCCGAGTGTATACATATGTATTGATCTTCATTAGAATATCAAGTAGTTAAATGATTAGAATGTACAGAAACATTCTTTTTGGGGAAATTTTCAGACACATTGGGAAATGAAAGGTTTTTTCAATTGGGAAGCCACCCATTATTGGTTGCAATTATATTTGCCCAGGGCAAAATTTTATATTTAATATACACATACTTTTTCTCCACTTATAAGCAACATGTATAGCATAATCATATAAAACTAACAGTAGCATATTAACAATCCAGCACGTAAATTACTTTTATTTGTCACATATTCTTTGATTAACTATCTGAGTTTACAGCAGCATCACTGATCAAAACTTGAACTTCAATAATCACATGTACCAAACTAACTTATTCAGATATTAAAATCCAAAAACACCCTGTTAAAAGAAACTGAACATGTTAACTTCAAAGTTTGTGTAGAGCATGAATGGAGCATTATCTAAGATAAAAATTGCAAAGTGGCTATATCATGAATCAATAGAGAGACAATGAAATAGGAGAGTTCTTGGATCAATAGTCCCAATAGTCGGTAAACATTTGAGGTGTTAAACATTCCTGCAGGCATTCTAGTCATAATATTTCTAGAATACAGGCCTATATAAGGTATCATTAATGTAAATGAATCTATATATGCAATATTTCTTGACTTTCTCACCCCGTTACTTGACATATTAACTTAATAAATTGTTTCCTAGAATAGCTCCAGGACATCAAACATCAACTCATCAAGCAAGCAATTCAGAAAATCACTACTGACTGTGCTGTGAAACATGTGCTATTTGACAAGTTATGATGTAAAATTGGAACAGGTTGAAAATTCTGCATTTAAAATTTGAATAAATGTCACAGTTATAAAGGGTCATAATTATTATTGATGACACAAATGCCAAATTTATTTCTTAACAAGGGCAATATTGTCGCAATATACATTGTACACCCTTCACAGAAGCTTTTGACAGAGATGTGGGCATTATAGATATGCATATAGGCGATATGCTCTGGGCAATATGATATATTATCATCTCTAGTGATTTTTTTTTATCTGAACTTTGACCCTATGTGTGTTCTTGACCTTGGCCGCAGGGACCTAAATTTTGCATGTGACACTCGGCCTCACATTAGTGAACATATGTGCCAAGATATATTGAAATCCCTTTAGGCATGTAAAAGTTTTGCTCCGGAAAAAGTTTTTCAACGACCTCTAAGTGTGGCCTGACCTTTGACCTAGAGACCTGGTTCATGTGCGCGACAGGGCTTCTAATAGTGGTGAACATTTCTATGAAGTTTCATTAAAATTCCTCCATGGGTGTAGGAGATGCTCTGGACAGAAATTGGACGCCGCTCACCCAGCAGCCCGCCCGCCAGGGGAAAACTATAATATGACCCATTTTTCAAACCATTCCATTGTCCCAGGAGGCCATTGTTTGTTGCTGAAGATATCTTATGAAGTTTGTGCTAACTCTGACCATGTAGTTTCTGTCGAAGAATGTTTACTGTATGCAAAAAAAATAATATAAAATAATAAGAATCTCTAAAGAAAGACCATAGCAACAGATTTGTAAATGTTGCAGGCTCGGTTTGATTGAGTCTGTTACATACTACAACAGATCTTGTCACTATCTGCTATCTTACAAAAACTATTTTATTTTTGAATCCTGTCAGTAAATTATGATAGCAGTATATTTCTTAATAGACTGTCTTAATGTTTTCTTTTGTTATCTGAATTATAAAAGATTAGCTCCTTTAAGGTATAGAAGATAATATAAATAATAAAATATTGCTTTTCTTGAAAAAAATAACAAGTTTCCCATTATATAGGCAGACAAACTGAAAACAATAAGGATATTTACATAAATTTGGCATTTCACTATAAATGTTTTGAATATAGAATTGATAAAACATAACTGATAACAGCTTAAAAATCCCCATAAGATACAAATATATGCTTGCATAAATTTCTCCCTTGACTTTAAAATCAATATGATAACAATTTAACTGTGGGTTGAAATAGTTGCTTTACACATACTGTATACAACGTAACATCTAATCCAACATAACAGACAACACTTATTTTATATGTAACTATTATACTATAGTACTAATAATGAACTCAGAGAGGTTCACTGTTAAACTATTCCATCTTTGTTATTATCACGGGGGAAGAAGTGTTACACGAAAGATGGAGTTCTAATGATAACTTGTTTGGAGTTCTTATGATAACTGTCACGGAGTTCCTGGAAAACGTTACGGATTTCTGTGGAAAACTTTTCTATATACTTGGAGAACTCGCGTAAAAAATGGTTATTTTTAACTTTAAATGGGGAGTTTGAGGTGCTAAATGAAACTTTGATAATTAAGCTTGCCCTACATATTGTATTTTGTTTCAGAAAAAATCGTTAAGTCCATATGTTTTGTCGCCTTTTAAAAAAAAATCTGGTAGTTTTGAGAAAAATTACCAAATTACTTGCTAATTCGTACATATTGACCTTTTCATTTGTGATCTTCTTCGTTGCTATACTTAATTACCTAATAATTATGGAGAGATGCAAACATAAAGCCCGGGCTAATAAATTTATACCCGACATTTCAAATGTTACGGAGTTCTTGCGATAACTCAAAATATGTCCTGGAGTTCTTATGATAACTTTTGTTTCTGCCAGTGTGTTTTGTGCTTAATCACGGCACGTTTAAGCGTATTTTTATTAGTCAATAAGTGTGTAAATCATTATGAAGCACAGTACGCTTATCATTTGCAAAATAATTTGGTTATATAACGTTGGTTTTGATCGTGTTTTTCAGTTCAAGAGATATTTTTCTTACCTCCGTTTCTTGTGGGTTTTTTGTGTGTTTGTTTTGGTCTTTGTGTGTGTGTGTGTTTTTTTTTATTTTATTGGAATGACTGTAAACATACTAGATGTAGAGCATTTACTTACAGGATAAAAATACGCTTTGAATTTAATACTCAAGCATGATTTCGTCATATATGCATTATT